TTTCAATGACACTCAATCAAAATGAAAAGAAATTCAAAACATTTTAAGTATGTAAAATGTCCTTTGACATAGTTATTATATGAAAACTTTGTTATTGGTATTTAAAAAAATTTAAATAAAATTCTCAATAGAATTTTAGGAATGTTAAAATTTTTTAATACGAATTTACTTTTCAATATGGTACTAGTACACTTTTACATAAATTTAAATTCTGTACTTAAATTTATAGTGCTCAAAATTTCAATCAAAATACTTCTAGAATGAACTTAGAATATTTAAATATTTACTCTATTTATGTTTAGTATGATTCAATTTGATCAATAACACTGACTGATCTAATGTATATTGTCCATTCGCTAATGTGATATAGAATTTTCAATTTTATAAATAAATCTTACAAAAATTTTTTTGAATTTTCAAACATAAAATTGCCACTGTCAATTTTAAAATATGTTGAAACTAAAAGTTTTTCTTAATTCCCATTATTTAGTTCGCTTATTTCTTAAATTGGTTTTTGCAAACAAATTGTAGTCCATGATCCACGGCCAATTTAACGCTTTGAAAAATGTTTGTTATTTCATACAACGAATGATTAAAAGGCTGCATTTTTACTATATTGACAGATCATAACAATTAGTGGGATAAAGTTAGATAAAAATTTTCTCCAAACAAAAAAAAAAAAAGAGTTTTCTTGCCAAAATCGATTCAAGGACGAACAGAACCTAATAACTACTGTTCTTAAAATCTTGATTTTTTTTTCAAATTCTTGACTTCGCCTGTATGTTGCAATGGTTTTAATTTTTAATTGTTTTTGATAAATTAATTAATTGCGTCTATTTTAATGAAGGAAATGTTTTGTTTTATCTTCCTCCCCTTCAAAGTAATCGCAAATCACAATTGATTTTCGATTCCTTATTTTCCCGAAAGTGTAGCCTTTTTCAAACTCCTATCAAAAACCACAATTATTTATCTTAAATCACGCAATTAGCCATGAATTCTGTAATAGTTTATACTAATTTTTGCATTTATTATGTAAGTAGGCAATTTTTTTATTTTGTGCAAAATATAGTTTTACATATTTTTATGACATGAGAACTAATTCTATTGACATCAACTAATTCTATTATGAAGTAATATGAGAGCATTGATAATATTATAATAATTTATTATAAAATGTTATATAAATAAATATTATTACAAGTAGTGTACTAAACAAAATGCCTTAAATTATTTAAGTGTATGAGAATCAATGTAAATTTTTTCTAGCATTACTTAATTTCACAGTCCTGTGAAGTTTATTTAGAATTTGTTATATGAAGTTTGCATTACCGGTTTAAACCCGCAACCGTTTTATTATCGGTTTATCCGCAGTTATCGATTTTTGTGACACAATAGCTTTTTCAAAGATTCAAGTGAAGATCAGAATCGTATATCAAACATCGCTTAGTACTTCAGTTTTATACTTAAATATCAGACCCATACACAATATACTGAATCCGCTTTGATGACATTCTTTTTTTAAATTTTATATATTGTCCTTTTTTTCGTTACAAATGTGCAATAATATGCTTGCATTCTCTTGAAAATCTTTATATATTATATATAATTATTTATACATATTCATATATTTATGTATTGTATATATTCAAAGCCTATATACTCGTATATAGAATATCAAAATCATTTTTAATCTGACCTTTTCCATGTCGGCATACTATAATAGTTTTTTAATTATGGCAATTTTAAATTCATATTCTTTATTAATTGGATATCCTGTTAATTGTACACAGATACATACATACATATGTATGTACATTAATATATATATTATTTATAATTTATATGAATCGCAATATGTATATATATATATATAGGTTTATATACCTGAAATATTTGTATAATGTATAGTATCAGTTAATTGACATAAAAATTTGGATCGCCTTCACTTATAATAGCACAGCATTTGTGTACAAAATAAAATTTTTTAATTATTCAATATGCAATAATAATTTGATATACATACAACATGTATTACATACATATCTCCATACCTAATTAAAAGTTTATACATTATATACATATTATGTAGGTAGATCCCTAAATGATAATATTATACATATGACTATATCTCTACTGGCACATAAACAAAGATTTATAAAACAAATAATAAAGGACAGGCTATTATTATTATAGAGTAAATTAAAAAATAACCATATAAGAATTGGAAAATTTTCAATTTATTCTCTGACAATTAATTGATTTTTATTCAATAAGGATCCGGTTTGAATCAAATATTTTTTATTGTCTTTTTTATGCTTTTCACTTATTAATAAAATTAATAAATTCGTTCAAACTTGCTATTTTATTTGAATAAATTTAATAAATACAATGAATAAAAGTATTCTTATTCATTTTATGTATGTATACATATATATATAATATACATATATATATATATATATTAATTATATTTTCAATATATTGTTTAAATATAAGATATTCGTTTACATATGTGTTGTAATATTCCAAACAACTCTCAGCAACATCAGTTAAAACAACAAATTTTTCAGAAGAGTAATTTTATCGAAATAAATAACTTAAACATTTTTTAATGGAAAAGATCAAGACCCGTAGAACAGATGGATGACGTAATCAAAGGAACGAGTTAAAGGCTGAAAAATTAATTAAAAAATTTTTCCCCTCGAACTGGACTCGAAGCAGTGACCTACCGCTTTCTAGGCGGGCGCTCTACCAACTGAGCTACAGATTAGTGTTGTATTAGTAAAATTCATAATATCAAGACCCGTGTTTCTCAACCAAGATCCTGTCATATAAAATGCGTCATAAGTCATTATGTGTATGTACTAATTTTGTGCGAAAAAATATTAGTACATATATAATTTTTACGTCAAAATTTATTTATGTAATAATATTGTCCATATTCCAGTGTAACCATCCTTAAATAAATATTTTATAACATGAATTAAAATTTTTTATACTCAAACTTGAATTTATAGGTTAGGTTTTATTTTCGAATAACAAAAAATTTCATTTGCAAAGTAATTCCAACAACGTTCTTAAAAAACTTTTATAGCGTGTATTAAAATAATGGGCGTCTATTCAAATCTACTTTAATCTAAGATCTAATCGATCAATTTGACTTATTTAGTAATATAATTGCAGATCAATGTTGTTAATCAATAAATGCCCTATGAGATTTTTCTATATACATAAGTGCATACTGGATAACGAATTAAATACAGTACAAATAAAATTTGAATTTGAAGGTTTAAATTTGCTTCGTTAATGCTTTTAATTAACAAAATCACAAAGAATTCTTATGAAAGAATTAATAGTTAAGATAAGTTACAAGAATAACATTTTTTTACTTTGATTTTAATTCATGAGTTTTAAATTTGAAAGTTTCCAACACATTTAACATATTCTATGAAAGAACTATGAGAAACTGAGCAAAATTTTTTATGGAGAACTTTTCGAGAACAGGAAATTTTCGAAAGATTTGATGCTTCTTAAAGTAAAAACAAATAATGTAATTTTGACAAGAGTCTTTTCTTTTCTAGATGACAACAATATCTATCTTACGCAATACGAGCAGAATAGGAGCATAGTATTTTGGTTGTAAAATTCTTTTAAAGATGGTATCGAATCTTACATTTTCAATTTTTATCTTTCTAATATAATAACGGGGATTGTTTATTATTTTGAACTTCTGTCCTTAATGTATTATGTGCATAAATTATTTCAAGTATAAATGCAAATGACTTCAATCATAATTAAATATCATAATCCCTTTTCTTTAACATTCATATAAAGAACATCAATTTAAAATTAAATTATTAAATCATGTACAGTTATAGTATTTCAAATATGTATTTAAGTTGTAATGTATATATATATGATTTTTCGACAGTACAATCGATGTATATACATTTTTGTATATAATAAGGATTAATTTTTATAATTTTACGTATTTTAAATAAAAAAATTAAATAAATAATTTAAATTAATTAATAATTCATAAGATCGATTTTAACGGATATCCCCATAAAAATTAAAAAATTAAATATTTAATTAGACTTTATAATTGCTTCTGTACTTCATAATAATATAAATAACATATGTGTGTATATGTGCATGTGTGTGAATACCATATAAACATTAAAAGTCAAAAGGAAAAGTCTACTTTCTCACTTGCCTACCATACACCACCGCATAATATTTTCCTATTTCAAATAGGTGGAAAGAGGTGGAAACGTAAGAATTGACCGGGTCTCTCATTTTGAAAAATCATTTTGAATAAGCGACTTTTGAAAAGAGTGATAAACTTAGTTTTTAAATTGTGCTTAAAAGGAAAAAAAATTCACATTTTAACTTAAATATTTAAATTGCTAAAATATTAAAAAAAATTTATTAAAATTACCGAAAATTTATTTTTCTTATTCAGTATCAAATATATTTTATAAATCATCGCGAAAATGATTCACAAAATTCATAAATTCATAGACAGTATTTAATTAAGTAGACCTAATTTACATTTCAATAGACCAATATTAACAATGTACACATACGTGTGTACATTGTCAATTTTGTACACATACGTGTGTATATTCGCTATAAGCCACAATCCTACATTTTGGAAATGAATACGAAATTTAGTTTTAACATTTTTTAGATTTTTCAATAACACACAGAATAATTAATTAAAGGATTATCAGTTTTGAAATAATTAACCCTCCTTCCCTTCACCCTGCACGGAAAAAAATATATAGATTTCATATTAGTTATTTGTTTTTCAAAATTTTTAGGCTTTAATTTATCATAACAATTACTCAGTATGTTACACAATTTTACAGAAAATAGCTGGATTGCCGAAAATTTAAAAAGTTTTTATTAATAAATTAGTTTTTGTTAAATAATATTCTGAAATATTTTTTGTCTTGCTAACAAAATAACACTTTTCTTTTCAATTTCGCAGGAAATGTTTCCATAGCAATGGCAAAAATTGCGCGACGGTCAGTAGCGTCAAACCCGTCGTCGCTGACATCTATAACGATACCACCAACTAATTTAATTGAAAATAATTATATTACAACACATCAACAAAAAAGATCTACACATTCAAAATCAGAAACAAATCTTCAAGATTCTATATCATCAACAACTCCACTTTCATATTCTTCATCATTATCCGAATCATCAGCGTCTTCTTCTTCAGAATCATTGGAAACTTCATCAACATTATCCTTATCATTATCTCCGTCATTATCACCATCGCCGTCAATTACTTCTTTGACTGATATTGAACCCACAGAAAAAGTTCAATTAACAACACTGTTTAAAGCAAATACAACAGAAACAGAAACGATAGAAACTGAAGTAACAGCTACAACGATTTCAGCGTCAATCGATCCATTACGTTCTATTGGTTATCAACTAACTACTCGCACAATATCAAAAAATTTTGATAATATTAATAATATTAGTAAACAAAGTCATCGTCATGGGACTGCATCTATACATCCGAACACACAAAAAACAAGTAATCATAATATTAAAAATATTAATAATGTTAGTAAAATATCGCAAAATGAAACAACAAAACCATTTACAAATATACCAACAACATCAGCAACACCCACATTTAAAGTTGATAAAGCAACTGTTCCAGTATCTACAATTCCACTTTCGACAGCAAAATCTCCCGCGGCTTTGGCTGCTGAAAGAGAAAGAGTTCGAATGGAATTTTATGCAACTTATGATGTTATGACCGGTGTCAGGATAGCAGCAACTTTGGGGGGATTTTTTAGTTTAATGGTTTTCCTAATCGTATGGAAAAGTCGAAGTCACTCCAATGAAACTATAAAAGCTTTGAAGGTATTATAATAAAGTATTCATAAATTCTGATTTTCAAATTTTGTTCTATTGCTGTTCATACTCTAGGACCCTAAAACAGCTGCTTTAACGGTTGCTTGTATGCAAGAAGAAGAAGATCGTAAAATTATCGAAGCTATGGATGCCACAGGCTTATCGATATTTCCAGATGAATATGATACCATGCTTTTCCGCAGACAGCGAATGTTGTCCGTTGGTAATGTTAGTGCTCCACCTGTGTTGCACAGAGGATTTCGATTTTCTTCTGTTGGTAAGAAAAACAATTTCACAATTCTCATTAAATAGTTTCTACTAGTCAACTTATAAATACTTTACTTCAAAATTATAGGAGGATATAGTAGTTTGCTAGAACCTCCGCGAAGGTTTTCAATATCGTCTACTGGTGGCGGTATATCAACAGCAAGGAGAAGAAGTGCTTCAGAATCATCTCGTATTCTTAGTAATTATCCAATGGGAAGTAGTTTTGGAACAGACGACTATTTTGTTGAAACCGATGACGAACTGGATGAAGATTATGAAAACTTAAACCAAACTGAACAAAAACTTTTACAAAACCAAGGATTTTTGGAAGTTCCACCTTCAGTAAGCTTCATATAATTTTTTCCAATACTATAACGTTAAATTCTTCAATTTAAGGTACATCAAGACACAAGACGAAGCAGTGCCATGACTTGTTGCAGTACTGAAAGTTCATATTTAGAACGACGTTGTTCAGCTCTTACATTAGGAATTAATAATCTACCTCCCGAATTGCGTCAAAAGGACGAATCAATTAAAAAAGCGAGGCGTGGTTCCAGTACTGATACTTGGGATTACTATTATCCAGATATTCAAGTTATTCAAGCGACACCTAAATCTTCACCATTAGCAAGTGATAAAGATTTTGAAAAAGGAGCCACATTTAAGCAAGCAAGAACTATTTCACAAGATACCACAACAACAGCTGCCTCTGGCGTTTCTTCAATAACACTTGACAGCTCTGGTAGCAGTTGGCAAAAAAATAGTATGATCTGTTTCTATGATCCAGAAAGCTTGCAGGAACGAAAATTACCATCTATAGATTCTGAGCACAGTTTAGACTTTTGCCAGTCGAACACAACCGAAGGTGAAGATGACTCTTCAGATAAATTAGAGATTCAAAGTAGACGCTTACAAAAACACCAAACAAGACAACCGACAATTATTACAACCACGTCAGCAACACCGTCACCAAAAACTTTGACTGATAAGTTTGATGATATGCGAGATTTTAAGCTAAGAAAACTATCAGATGCCTCTAGTTGTATAAATAATAATACAAGTTTTACTTATTACGTCAGTAACAATAATAACATATTTGATCACTCCGGCAGTTGTATTACGCCAGGAATTACTCAACCACCTTCTTCAACATATTCTGTAAGCCGCGCAGTTAGATCAAATTTACGAGGGGTTGGTACTATCGGTGGAACGGGAATTGGTCGTGCTCCATTGGCTTCATGTAGCTCTTTTAAAATGTCATCCGTTGAATGCCAAGATTCAGATTTACGATCCAGTCTTGGAGATGATGAATCTGTATTCATTGAAAGCTATGCAGACACAGATGACGATTTGGAACAGTTTAGTACTGATAGTGATGAAATCAGTTTAGAGGTTATTCAAGCCGCTCAAAATGATGCCATACGATATATTGATGATAATGGTTTAATATCAACACTGCCAATAAACAACCAACGTCAACCAACAAGTGACAGTTATAATCCAAATAGTTTCTATGAACACCAATTATCAACAAAATCAGCTCCTCCGGAAATTTTAAATGGCAAAAAGCCTGAAGATTATAAAAAACCTGTTGGGAAAGGAGCCATATTAAAGCAAAACTATCAACGTACATCTACAGAAAGTCATCGAACACTTTCGGTTTCTTCTAGTGATAAGGTTCTACTAGTACCAAGATCTAAACAAGTGGCATCATATGAACAAAGTGTTGGTAAAAAATTCAAAACAAAATCAAATGTTGATAGCCAGCATATTAACGCACAATATAGTAATAAACGTTCTTCTTCAAAAATAGAACAACACCAAAACAAACAACATTTACATCAATATCAACAGCAAGAAGAATTGTTGCTTAAGCCTATACTATCGCCTGGAAATACTCCACTATTAGCTATAAGACGATCTCAGCTTCAACAACAATATAGCGATCCATCACATAGCTTGCCAACTACAGATGAAACGGTAACACTTGAGACTTGTTCAACCGAAATACCAGTTGTTACTACTATTGTAACGACAAATTTGACTGGAACTTCGACAACAACTTCAGTATTTTCACCTACAGCGACCCATTTGGGCATTCAAATTCCAGCTAATAGAAAATATTATGATCAACATAAACAAAAACCACCAATAATCATTAAAAAACAATCTAGCTTTAGTTATGATAATAATAATGATAGCTCAATTAGTAGTAATAGTAACAGTAATAGTATCAATAAAAATTTAAATAAGAAACGTTTAAGTAGCAGTAAACATACACATAAAAAAATTAAAATAAAAAATCGCACTGCATTAAGTGATTCTTCAATCCCACCATATCCACCACAATCAACAAACGTTAAACCATCATCAACCGCTAGAGCATCTGAAATATTAATACCACAAACTTCACAAACAATCGAATCTACAAGAAAAATTAGTAATGATGATCTACTAATCAATACAATTAAAACACAACCAATAGATTGTAGGCAAACGGATTTTTTAAGTGAAAATGTAATTTTACCTTATGGATCACAATATCATGGTGATCCCTTCCATACAACTGTTAGTTATAGTACTAGTGATAATAGTAAACATATTATTGATGATCGTGGAATTAGTTTAGTTGATTCACTAAATCAACAACAAAGAAATCAATTTGTTGAAAAATACTCTAGTAGGAATTTATTAAAAAATAGTGACAATTTTAGTAATTATAGTTCAACTAATATTCCAATATTAAATCCAAGTACTGATAGAAATGTTGATGATATTAATAAAAAACAAATTGTTGATGTTAGTATTGTTATTGAAGGCGTTGAAAGTGAAGAGAGTTCAACAAATAATGTTAATAACGTAAAAACAAATATTATTACAAATAAAAGTAAAAAATTATTAGATAATTCTAAAAATATAACAAGTACTTCTGTGATGTTAGAATTACCTGTTATTAAAGTACCAACCGATATCGAAGATGATGATAGCGTTAGTAGCAATAGTAGAAGTGTTGATGATATTAATGAATTTAATAATAAAGTTGGTAGAGTGCGTAGTAAAAGTGAAAGATGTGATCCTCCAATTCGTGACCCTAGTTTACCTGGTACATCACGCAAATGGTCAAAAGAAACGCTTTTTTAGCTTTCATTTTACTCTTTTTCTAATTGAAAATTATTGCTTTTATTTTAATTATTCGATTATTTTAATTATTTTTTATTTTTAAACAGTAATAACTATTAATGTAAAAGTTATTTTTAGAGGCATTATATAACAATATTATTCAAATTTAAAAATTTGATTAGAATTAAAATTTTAGAAATAGAAATAGAAAAAATAATAGCAATATAATATAGAAATAAGTTGAATATAATATTTATTTGAGCTAGTGCAGTCTAAAGTCTGAGTCCATTATAGGTAGATATTCAGATTTTTTTGGGCTTGAACAATAATTAAGTCTAATGACCACTATTAATATAATATTTTCAAATCTTTTAAAAATAGTTCATTTATATTTTCACTACCATTTTTACATTACATAAAAATTTTGTAATAATAAAAATAACTACAATAAACTTCAATAAAATCATTAATAACCTTAGAAACTATATTTTAAGATCTTTTAAAAATGTTGTCAATTATTAGGTAAATACAGTACAATCTCTATATAAAAAACGCATAACTAAAGGTTCAAATTCCAAGACTTTTAAAATTAATAACTTTATAAATTGGTTACTAAGATTTTATTTTCTTGCAGAAATGTATATACATATGTATAACAGTTTTACCCTATTATAATTTTCCGTAACAAAATTTGGAGTCTCTAATATCTTATCTACCAATTGAAAACAAAAAATTGAATATTTTCCAAATTATGTACATGTATCACTTTGTCCCGAAATGCGATAGGAAAAATCAACAAATTCTCTTACTTTGTTTTAGAAAGGAGACATTTTTATTTCGGCATGCTAATACTAAGAGAAAGTCAAAACAGGACTTGAAACAGAAAATTTCTATATTATTAATAAAATGCAAAATACAAAAATTCTATTTTATAGTTGGCGTAGTTAAAACGATATTGAAATGATTTTATCTTGACTCATGATCAATATTTAAATTTAAATTTTTAAGAGCAACTGATGTTTTTCTGTAATTCGTGATGCAATATTTATATTTATATGTCAAAGTTCTTACGTTAGTGGTGTTGAAATCAATTGACCTTAGATTCGCTCATTCTCAAGGAAGGTAAAAATTTTAACTATGATGAGACTATTAATTTAATAAAATTTAGAACGAAAACTCTTCAGGAATCTTCTTTTATTATAAAAATTCAAAATTATTTCTGTATCTACCAGTGATGAATTCTATTATGTATATACATACATTGATTTCGAAAAACAAGTCATTTTATTTGAACTTTTATTTCTTCTATCAATTCTTCCTCTTTTTAATAATTAAAAATTATACTCCATATATGTAAGAAAAATTAAAACCAAAATGGAGCTGAAAAAAATGTTAAGTTTAAAATCAAAAATTTGTTAATTTATCATTCGAATTAGATTTAGAATTAAAACAAAATTAAAAAATTAATTCAAAAAAAAAAAAATGCGAATAAATTTACAATTCATCCTTAGTTACTTACAAATAGAAACGTAATTTTCAAATCGAATTTAAAACAAAAAAAAAACGCATAATATTAAATTAAATCAAAATCAAAATTTGCAATAAAATAACAAAAATAAAACTGTTAATGAAATGCAAATCAAAAAAGATATTATTTACATATTTAAGAACACAGTATGAAACAAAATATTATATACATATATATATATATATGTTAGATATGTATGTATGCAGGGTGCCTAAGTGAACTATTTACATACATATATTATGTACAAACCTTCATGAGTAAACAAAAACTTTTATATGGGGACACTGAGCTTTCAAAATTTTTTTTAATCATTCGTCTATCTGACACAGGAACGGAGTTGTATGCCAAATATATAACACCGTCGAGATTTACTCTACATTCCTGATCCTCGCAATCTGTTTAACTATAAACATTGTCTCCATACAAAATTTTTACTTATGACGGTCTATACAATGGACAGAGTAATTAGAAACCAGACACTCCGAATATATCTACATAATATATTATTATTGTATAATAATAAAACACTAATGCGAATATTTTCAACTTTCTTATATAATTAACGAATAAACATTTACACTTATATACACACATGAATATATATAAAAAAATATACACATATAATTGTAATTAAATATTAAATACATATACAAATTTATATAAAATTATTAAATACTACTTTAGCCTTTTGTATTGTACAGATTTAATAACTGACCTAGTACTGTTGTCTTTTATTATTAGCATTGAATTTCTCGTAATGAAATTTAAAATTATTAAAAATGAAAAAATTTAATTCCAAATTCGATAATCCATCCAATATAAAAATTTTGATAACAATGAAAATAAAATCAAATAAAACATAGAAATAATCTTATAATTATTTCACAATTAAATTTAAATCATTTATGCCGTTAAATATAAAAAATAATATTTTTTTTTTAATTTATCTATTATTTTTAAAAACAAATTTTTTTATCTTTGCTTTTAAATTTCAATTTTGATAAGATCTTATCAAATAAATAAAATCTTATTGTAAATCTCCATCTGAAAATAAATAGTGAGTTAACAAGCTGTAGTTCTAATTTATATAAAATTAATTAACTCAAAATTAAATAATCTTCGAAAAATATAGAGCACACACCTACATAAATGCGGATGTAAATTGCATTTCTTATTAAGTCAATAAGTCATTTCTCAATAAACGGTCCCAAACCTCATTAATTATGTAACTCTGATGGTATTAAGACAAACACTTGCTGGATTTACTTTAATATTTAATATTGCTTGAAACAAATCCATAATTTCGGAAATTTTTATAAAACTAAAAAAACTCAAATTTCAAATTGATAAAATTATTTTCCAAAAAGCTCCAAAAGTCAAATTAATTTTGATATTTAAATTTGTTTTGAAAAAATTGCAATTTTCTAGAATGTTGTCCATAATTTCAGAATTAAATTGAAGTTCAAATTATAGTTTTAATATAATTGAAATCGACGAAATTTCACTTAGACATTATTTGTTTGTAACGATGCTATTATTATTAAAAATTATTTTTAAGACTATAGCAAAATTTTTAATGAATTTAATAAACAAAATTTCATAAATGTAATTTGAATTAGAATTGTGATTGTTAGTCAATTTATTTAATTAAAGATTATCGTAGTTCAGTTGATATTGAAATTTAAAAATAATCAAACAATTTGTTGTTGTCTATTTCGAAACAAAAATTACTTCCATCCAGACTACATTTTCTAAATTCTTAAAATCTTAAGTGATATTTTCACTTGTCATAAATATTAGTATTAAAAAAATTTTAAATACTCGTATAATCAATTAACATTTATATAATAACACTTATAAAAAAGCAATTTCTTTTTTATTATACCGTTCTCAACACATACATATATGTAGGTACTTTGCAAAATAATTTATGATTACATGTTATGTTTAACCACAAACATTAAAAATACATTATAATGTCTTTGGTTTAACGTAATGTTTTAAAAAACAATAATTTCTCTTATAGTTTTAATAAACAATAATTAAAAGAATGATTGCAAGAGGGCGTTTTAGCCAAATTTAGAGCAAGAGGGTATGGTGGACAAATTTTTTACTTTGTTACATTTTGTTTCGTGCAGTGAATGTAAAAATTTAAATATTACTATATTTAACTATTAATATAAAACAATTAATGTATTCATTCATTTACAAAAATCGAGTGATGAATTCGATAATGTAACAGTGATGTTACGAGAAACTCGTAACTAAATTTAACCATATAGTTTATTCAGTTTACAAAATGCTCACTGGCATTAAAATAGTATTAATTATATGGCAATAATATTATATAACTATAATAATAACATTACTGGAACTTGTATGTCTGAGACCATTATTTAAAATTTTAACAAATAAATGCATATACAACCATATTAATCTATACATATACCATTACGAAAGATGAATAATTATATAAAATATACTAGTATGTATATATATAATTGTTATTGAGATATAGTAGATCATAATTATATAAGGAAATCAAATACATACATATATAAAATATTTTGTTAAAAATTTAATTGATTTTAATACTCGTAGCTCATCCAAAAAAACAATTAGATAAAAAATCCGGATAAAGAATGAAGAATGGAAAAATATTTTTACATGAATTTGACGAAATTTCATATCTTGGGCTTAAATTTAATAATTTTTTCATGATAATATGAATATATATATAATTAATAACTTTGAATCTCAATTATAAATTTTTATTTTGAGTAAAGAAAAAAAAATTTAATTAAAATTTCAAAGTCTGATTTATGCTCTTACACTATAATAAATTTCTTATTCAATGAATATTACAAAAAGAATGGACTTTTTGGCTGTGATTAAACATATACAACTTAATTGAAATCCATTTAAGTAATACTATTTTTGATAAATATTAATCACGATTATAATATTACATAATTCAATAAATCAGACTGCTATTAATGAAACAAAGTATTTGAATTTTATAATTTAACTTTTTCTCATTGTTTTCTACATATATATTAATATGTTTTGTTTAATTATATATAGAAAAATTTCGATGAAGATCCGTAAGGATTTCATATCGAAAATATAAACCTAAACATCAAATTGTCTTTTTCAGGAATTAAAATTCGATATCCTAAATAATTCAATTTCATGTTAGAGATTTGATTTAAAGTTACTGCCCATACTTTCTGTAAATGTAATATATAATAATTATAATATACGTACGTTATACCCCTCTTCCCGAATCTATGTACATATATTACGAGAAGATAAAATAATTATTATTAAAAAAGATTTTATCAAAATCGAAATTCAACCGAAAATTACATAAAATCAAATCAAATTAATTTTATAGCTGAATCTGAAATTTGACATTACGAGTAAAATTCGAGTAATATTAATAGGACCAAATTATGATTTAGCAAAATAATATATTTTGTTGAAAAGTCTCATATACTAATAATTTTTAATAAAGATTGACTATATTTAAGTGTTTTGATTATTTAAAACGATAATTTTAAATTCCTTTAGTTTTTCAAAGAATATTTTTTATCTCTAAATTTTTTGATTTAAAATTTTTATGTAAATCCTTCTTCTCATATAATTTTATCGTTATTTAGTGTTGAATTCAACTGAATTAATCGGAATATGAAAAGTTTCGGTAAAAGTTTAAGACTTATTTATAATGCTCCGATATTTTTATAAATTTCATTACCATTCTAGCGTTAATATTGAAAGCATCGCCTGTGTATAATCATAATGTCATTATTCATACTGCCTCTATCAAAAGTGGGTACACTTATTACTTAAAAACATTACTAGCGTTTTTATACATCTAATTTATATAATACTTTATACTTATAATATAAAAGTATTGAACACTTTTGAAAATATACAGTGTTTCATAAATAAAGGTTCTTTCAAAAATACAAATACAATTAATTTAATTTATTAGTATTCGAATACTTGCAATATCATAATCATAATGACATTAATTTCCAGCGACCATATAATTTAATGATTAACTATATTGCAAAACAATTGATAATATCTTTCCTTTTGAAATATGCATGATCTAAGAAGCGACAAGATATATCTTTGGACTTTCATTACTTCTTAAATATAAAAATTTATGCTAGAACTTATTCCTAACGTCAACTACAAGTTCTTTATTTGAAAAATATGATGCAAGAATATTTTCCTAAAAAGGATGAGAAAACCAAATTAGTTTAAATTTCAGAGAACCGTATTATGTACGTATTAACTTTATACAGAATCATGATTATGTATAGTACGCATAGGGTCTATGACGTACATACATATTATATCTACTTGTGTACAAACATATGTTATAAACCATATGGGAATATAGATTTTTAATGTAAATACAAAATTTCGACCAATTAAACTCTCGTTTTTAGATTATCACTTTTCCTTAAAACAAAAAAAAATAACATTTTGTATAATATTAAACAAAGTAGCAACAATATTTCGTATATAGTTAATATTAATACATATACATATATATATTACATATATGTATATTTTTATAAATAGAAAAAATTTCAAGTAAAATGTACTAAACTACTCTTACGTTATTATAAAAACAATAACAAGAATCAAATATAACATTATATTTAAACTATCCGGTACCTTTTCTTGGAACAAGTATCTCATATATATATTAAACATATATTATAATATATATGTATAAATGATTTTTACATATAAATACAGGATCATATTTTATATAACAGCTTTACCATTCAAAAAAATTGTATTGAAATCTCAAAGTTACATGTGCGAAGTGTAAAACACATACATTTTTACGTCGATTAAATACATTTTAAATAGCTATCAGTGCTAACCAGGTATATATGTATAGGTATTTTCATTGATTAAGAACAGAAATTATTGTAAATATATTATAAAAAGTATATTAATTTAAATGAATGGTATTTCTTATTAATTTTAAAAAGACTAACTCTTACAATCTAAATTCTTTATGTTCAAAATTCAAAAACGAAGAAACGATTAGTCGAAACTGTAATATTATATTATTTATCCTTCCTCACCTTCTTCCCCACTTCTCGCTTTTAATCAAAATTTGTTTAACATTTTATACTGCATTGCATTTATTATAACGATTTAAAATTAAACCACAATACACTACATACTAGATTTAGTGACATAATATGAAGCAGGGAAAATAAAATCTTATCAAAAACAAAAAAATATCGTCTAATTACGAAAAAATACTAATTTTTCAATACAGATTTATGTACGAAGTATTCCTAACATGGAATTTACAAAATATTGGATTAATTTTCGAAGAATTATTCATAAAGTTTCAACTTAAATAATATCTAATAAAATGACATGCTTACATTAAGAAAGTTTTATTAGTAATCCTATTAACGATGACTAATAAAATTATTATTTAGTATTTATTAAAACTGAAAATGATAAAAAAATATTCCAATTGGAAATTAAAAACTCCCTGCTTCTATTAAACTAAATTCCAAAAATATTAACTTTAAATAAAATAGTTTAGCCGTGCCTTAGTAATTTTTATATTTCCGAACTACTTTTTAATAAGTTTCTAGAGCATTTAAATAAAACTTAAAAAATTAATTTCATATTCCATGTTTTATGCAAAACTCACATGTCATATGCAAAAAATAATTTCTATGTTTATATTAACCATATTAGAAATTTATTTTCACACTAAATAATTTGATTACAATTCGTTAGTGATAATTCAACAATCCACAAAAAAAATACTACAAATGTATGTGCCACACAAGGCTTATTAAATAGTCTTGTAATTAACAATTGGAACCATAGTAATTACCCATTTCAAAATTACAACTCTATTAATTTATTGCTCGAACATTTTAAGTCATTAGGAACTTCAAACCATATAATGTTTTCGAAACCCACTACTTTTTATAATAATTTATTAAAATTACTTTCTTTGTAGTTTACTTGTAAAGATCCAAGGTTTTATATTTCTTTAACTTTATTATATTATTCTTATGATTCATTAATATGTAATAAAATAACCAAAATATTTAAAATATCATTCAAATATTTGCATGGTTTCATTAAATCTAAATATTCGAATCTGATCATATTTTCATCTTGTAAAGAACTTCATATCCTAAAATGGCAATTTTAGGAATTGCCGTAGAGTTTCTTTTCATGTTTTTATTACTTTGTTATTTTTTATAAACTCGAAATAAAATATTATGAAAACTATAAATAAAAGTAACTATGTAACAAAAATATTCTTTACAATTGTAACAAAGAAAAAAAACTATTAAATAGTGATTAGGATTACATAAATACATTTAATTATTAGGATGTGAATGTATAATATATTATTAAAGAAGATATTAAAAAAATATATAATATATATGAAATTGTTAAAAAAAATAAATCACAATTGAAAATGAGCATTAAAAAAAATTAAATATAGAAAAATTAAAAAAACATTAAAAAAAAACCCAAATGAATGTTGCAATATTAAATTGTAAAAAAAACTTATATAAAAAGTAAAAAATTTAGGAAAAAATATATTATATTTAAAAAAAAATAGTAAATTTTCATTCATTGTATTTATTTGCCCTTAACTTAATGGAAACTTCTTATTTTCATTTCTTGATCCTTTACCAAACCATTAATACCTTAAAAATTATTTGCTTTTCTCCGCACTATTCTTTTCTTCAAACGATTTTAGTTCAAAAAAGAGGGTTTACCCTTATATTCCTTTTCACTTGCAATTACCAATAATTTTAATTTTAAGCCAATAAATAGTAATTTACTGAAAATTAGCCTGCATTTCAAAACATGAATATAATCAAAAAATAATGTCGTCTTTTAAGTTTAAGATAGTTAAAAAAATTTCTAAACATGTTCTTCTAAATTATTTCATCATTTTTCTCACTGCTGATTTTTCCAATCTTTGTTAACAATATTTAAAAGAAAAACTAGAAACTAAAAAGTAGAAGAAGAGTTCAAATTGCGAAATATAGAAAACCGTCTTCAAAATTTCAACGCAATAAAAAAAATCAACGTGCATTTAAGAAAATCAACAATATTACCGTAGAAATAATTTTATTATTTTCAACAAAAACAAAGATGTATATAAAAAATATTTATTGCCATTAAACAAAGACGAAATTAACTGAATTAATATTAACAATAAGATGTTTGAGAAGCCCCTAATAAATTTAGCGATCTTAACAATGCTTCAGATGTTGGATCCCTTCCTCTAAATCTTCGAAATATTTCTTCTGTTTTAATAGAACCACCAAGAGATAAAAATGTTTCTTTGAAACGAACACCAGCGTCTCCTCCTTTAGATTTTTCTTCAAAAGCATCATAAATGTCAGCCGCTATCAGTCTAGAATGTAAATTACTAAAATAAGCTGCACCCCAATCACCAGAAAATATATTTGACATGGAACATGGGTGAGCATCAATTTTCTCTAAAGGCATTATATGGTAAACTGGCCATAATTTTTTAACAATATCTAACCAAAATTCCGTTTTAGAATGTAATTCGAGATCCAGATCACATAGATAAAGCTCTTTACATAGTTCGTATGCACTCATTGAAGTTTTGAATAATTTTATATTCTTGGCTATGTCATCCGGTATTTGTTCTTCATTTGCATAATGTGATGACAGTTTTTTTAAAATTTTATCATCATTAAGGAAATTACATAAAACATGACCACAGATTTGCGATGCATCCCATTCGATATTCGATAATCCAGCTAAGTCCACATAATTTGCACGTGTTAATATATGCTGAAGTAAAGAACCAAAATTTCTAAATATCATTTCCAAATCTTCCATTGTAAGCAAATGGGGTTTATTATAAACTGGTGAACTAAAATTAAATATCAAAGCTGCCAATGGGTTTTGCCCCAATTGTACATTTCGATTTCTGATGCCAACCATCCAACCAAAATTTCTGTTATGATTTCGTTCTTTCGAGTAACAGTCTAAGTAAAAACCGCCTACAGGATCGGAAACCGTTCGGTTTAAATCAAAAACTTCATAAAACTTAACACCTGGATGCCATACTTCAACCTAAAAGTGAGCAATTAAAAAATAAAAGATAAATATGTATATTATGTATTTATAATATAAACATATTATGTATGTGCATATGTACATAATAAAAAATGTATGTGTACCTCTTTTTCTAAAATTTTTATATTAAAAGCGATTTCTGCTATTTCAAACATTCCTGCAAACACACTTGGAGGGGTAAAATACTCAGAAACGTTATTTTCATCCAAGTTAAAATTTGATTTTAAAAATTTCCGTTGCCAATAAAATATATCGTAAGGCTCAAGTTTACGTTCAAAGCCTGAATTATTGGCAAAATCTTGTAATGTTTGCACTTCAGCTTGTTGCAGAGGTCCAGCATAGTTTAGAAGTTTAGCAAAAAGATCCTTTGCATTATCTACAGTTTTTATCATTTTTGTTTGCATTGACATATCAGCAAAAGTTTTGTAACCCAAAACTTCAGCTTGTCTTTTCCTTAAACCCCTAATTTTTTCCAAATGTGTACTAGTTTCAAAATTCTTCTCTGCTAATTGAGAACATTTTCTAATATCAGCCTGCCAAATATTCCATCGTTGAATCCTATCTGGACAATATTTTAAAAATTGTTTCACTATATAGGGTTGCAAGCTTATTTTCCATGGACCATTTGTGGGTTTATTATGATCTACAGCAATTGCTTCTAGCACATTAGGAGGGAAATCTCTTACCAAAGAATAATCTTTAATTAAGTGTGAAAACCCGCTCACAACTGAATTGACTTTATTTTTATAGGATGCTCTTTCTTGTCCCAGTTTTAGTGAAATATCTTCTAATTGAATTCTGTCCGATTCTTGCAAATCTAAACCATTCAATTTTCCTTCAAGCAAAAATTTTTGTATAAGTCTCTTATATTCTGAATCATCAATTTTCAATATTTCATACTGGCTTTTAATTTCTTTAAATATAACATCATTTGAAAACTTTGCCGCTCTTGCGCTACGTGCTCTTTCATGAACACTCATATACGATTTTGTCGGCATTAAGGTACTATTACCCAAATAGATTGCTTTAGCAATACCCCATGTGGTTTCTAAAGGGCCAATTTTTTCATCCAATTTCTTAAAAATTTCTTCCTTCAAATCAATTTTTTCATCATTTTCAGCTAGTGTAATTTTGGTTTCAATAGACTTAACTGTCATCTCAACATCTTTGGCTTGTTTTGAAACTGCCGCTAGACAATTTTCGATTGTTAATCCATTGAATCTTAGAAGACCTTTTTCATCAATTAATGTTTGAGAAAAATTGTCATCTTCTCCAATTTCTGGCACTCTAAAAGACAAATTTTGTTCAATTAAGTAATGGTTTTATTTAATCACTAAATAAATGATAAATTTTCTTAATTTTTTTAACTGAATTTAAAAATTCATCTACACGTTATCTATGTGCTTACAATACAATATATCCGTGGTTTTGTGCAGTTGTAGAAATGCATCGTGAAAAATATGTAGACTTGGTATTACGTAATAAACGAATCATATTGCAAGAAAATTAATTTTTTCTTTAATATAAGAAGAATTTTTTTTTATTATTCAATTCCTGATAATGATATTTTATTGTCCATTGCCTATTTCAATTGTAATAATCAATTATGATATTCAATCAGAAATTGCCGAAATTTTAAACAAATGTCAAAACAAAAATAAAACCACAATTCATTTGACAGCTGTCATTGTCTTTTTGACTAATTATGAGTGCGATCTATCGCCGTTCTGACACACTTAGTTCAGTAAAATAATTGCATAAATACACGCTTGGTGCTCACCTCAATTGCACAGTACCAAAAAAGTGATACAGAAATTACACTAAAAGTTTTAACTGAAAACTTAATGTTCGTGATTTTCTTTTTCTTCAACAAAGAATGTGTCACTTCATTTAAAGTCGCAAACAAATAACATGTATTCTTCGCCAGTTCAGTCTTTTACGGCATATCAGTAAAATATAACCTAATTTTTTTAACACCCTATTTGAATGTGTCCTATATTTAAGTTACTTAGTTATTTGTAACAAAAAAAATGTAACTCCGCAAAAGTATGATGCATTTGTTGCAAATAAAAAACACTATTTACATATATTAATTTAGCGGAAAAACCTAACAGCTCATCTATGAATTTGTTCGAGGTGTACTCGTGTTCAGTTTTGACTAATCATTGGCGGTTTACACATGTAAATACACTTTTCTCTTAAATAATATAGATATCAGTTTTGCCAAATTGCGGGAATATTTCCCATTTTTAGTGAAATTTGAAGCCTGGAAGGGAAAAATGCTAAAAATTGTGGTAAATTCCGTTGAGATTTTATTTTCTCTAATAATTTACCTATTTTAAATTCGTTTTTTATCTGTGACTTAGGGGGGGAGAAGGGGTAGCATGCGATTACAGAAGATGGGTTAGCAGTTACATCTGCCCAGCCTCTGCTACTCAACGCCAATTCTCACCTTCACGAGTTCCCCCCTGATAAGTTGAGCAACTCGTTCGAAAGATCTGGTCGCAAACCCAGGTGGAGTAGTTCGGGTCAACAAGCAAACGAGAATGGCGGGGTAAACACTATTGTTTACCGTGTAGCGTCTGTCCAACAATTGGCGGCTACGAGCGGGCGTCTGACTTGGAGCAAGCGGCTCGCTATATAAATGTGCAACTTACCTGGAAGAAGGTATAAAATTCGTCGAAACAATATGTGCAATGGATAAAACTTTAGGATTTATTACCCCAGGTGGTATGCCAACTCAGTTGGTAAATCCACCCTCTTCGGAGGTCGGCCCCACGGATTCTTGGGGGGGGGGTCATTTATTGCATAACATTGATGTAAATGATACACCGAAGTTTACTCAACTGGGTTCATTTTGTGGTAGGAGCACTAAGACCAAAAGAACCCCACCGTCAGCAGAAAGTGGTCCTGTAAGAACGCATGCTCTTGCACCTGGGACTGACAGCGTTACATCTGAAAATGTGCAGCTTAAGAAAAAGCTTAACGAAATAGAAGCCACGTTGACGTTATTTAAGAAGGAAATGGACGAACTCAAAATAGAAAACTCCTCATTGAAGGCCGCATTGAGGCTAGAAATTGAAACAAAAGCGTCAAAAAACCAAAAACATTTAAAAAACCTTAAAAACAATCTTTCCAGCGGAGATGATCTTTCCGGTTTTGACACCGACGGCTCAGCACGGACCATCAACACCACAAGAATTACAAAGAAGCGGAAAGCTAAATCGTCCCCGGAGATCAGCGCGAATGTAAGCAACGTTAAGGGAAATAGTAAAAGCTGCAACGGTAATACTAAGGATTGTGAGAAGGACTGCAACATGATAATGGCATTTTCGGCTAAAAACAACGATAAAATCCCCACCTCGAATAGCGACTTGACTAAAATTGATTCGCTTAACGCTAATGAAAATCAAATTGTCAACAATGTAGCCAAGGAAACCGAATGGATTTTGGCCGCTAGCAAAAAGAAGAAAACAAAAGTCTTATCAGCTAAATCGGTTAGAGTTGCCAATGAATTAACTAAGTCTTCAGCAGTTAACTTTTTAAATTCGCCGTTAAGTAATTTACCAGGTTCTATGGGGAAATTCACTCCAGAAACGTCAAATAAAAAAAACATGAAATCTCAACGTAAAAATAATTTAGTCGTACCTAGCCCAGCCCTGTCTAGCACATGTAGGATGTCGAGTCCAAGCTTACTTACCAACGTAGAAAGAGAGAAGCAACAAATAACCAAAAAACTAACTCCACCACCAATAATAATTAGTAACCTAGCCAACTACGTTGAAATTGAACAAAATTTAAAATCCAAAAACGTTAAATATAATGCCAAACTGTTAAATAACAACCAATTAAAAATAAATGTGGTCACAGATGATGATTACAGGAAAGCAACTGAACTCTTTAATGATATTCATCTGGAGTGGCACAGCTACGAAAATAAACAAACGAGACCTATCAGAGTAATGGTCAGAAATCTTCACCCCACTTGCAAACCAGAGGATATTAAACTGGAGCTGGAGGAAAATGGGTTCAAAATTCTTGATGTAACGAACAAAATAAAAAAATCATTAGTCAACGGTAAAAAGTACATAATCAATCTTCCTTTGTTCATGCTCACCTTTGACAACTCTGAAGATATTAAAAAAATTTACAAAATTGATGAATTATGTCATTTGAAAGTTAAGATCGAATCCTTGCGGTCAAATGGTTTGATACCACAGTGTAAGCGCTGCCAAAGGCATGGCCATACACAAAAATACTGTCAAAGACAACCAATTTGTATAGGATGTGGGGAAAAACACCACTCATCCTCCTGTACTAAACCGAAAAACACCCCTGCAAAATGCGCAAATTGTGGTGGCGATCATCCGGCCAACTATAGGGGTTGTACTGTTGCTAAGGAACTACAAAAAAGAAGAAACTCTTCAATTCAATCCAAATCAGCAACAAAGTCTGTACAGCCTAGGTCTGGGCAAAAGTTCCAATATCAGAAAAGGGATACGAGAAGTTTTGCAAATATCGTTAAAAATAATATTCCTCAGACAACCAGTTCACACACAAATATTGACGATTCAACAATTAACAAAGAAGATATACCAAGCATGCTGCAAAACATTGTAAACATGATTCACAATCTTACATTGAGGGTTAACAATATTGAAAAATTTACGTCAGGTGCAATGATCCATCGAAACCAAAATGACCAGATACAACTTTAAAATAGCTATATGGAATGTCAACGGCCTAATGGAAAAACGTCACGAGCTTGAGGTTTTCCTCCACATGCAAAACATTGACGTGTGCTTGATCTCGGAAACTCATCTTACAAGTCAATCATACATTAGCTTTAGGGGATACAATATTTACAGGACGTGCCATCCGGCGAATCAAGCAAATGGGGGTAGTGCAATATTAATAAAAGAAAATATTAGTCATGACCATGATTGTGGCATACAATTGGACGAAATACAACTCACGGTTGTAAGAGTAAGGGTAGATGGTAAGAATTTGAATGTGGGTGCCGTTTACTGCCCTCCTAAACATAATCTTAAGAAAGCTGATTATCTTTATTTACTGAACACCATGGGTGACAAATTCATAGTCGGCGGAGATTTCAACGCCAAGCACACAGACTGGGGCTCCAGATTAATAAGCACAAAGGGAAGGGAGCTCAGATCAGCAATCGCCGCAGCTGGGTGTAACTATCACTCCACCGGAAGACCAACATACTGGCCCTCGGATACGAATAGGACACCTGATTTACTGGACTTTTTTATTTCCAAAAAGGTGGGCTCGAACTACATCGAAATTGACGAGAGTTATGACTTGAATTCTGATCACTCAGCTGTAATTCTCACACTCAGTAACACAGTTATAAGGGAAAAGGTCAAACTCTTCCTGACTAATAACTCCACTGATTGGGTTAAATTTCGATCAGAATTAGACAGTACAATTAATCTTAACATAAGTCTGAACTCGAAACTCGACTTGGAAGTAGCAGCGGAAAATTTTAACACATTGGTGCAAAAGGCCGCATGGAGTAGTACGCATATAGTCCAACAAAAAACAAAAGGAGTTAATTACCCACTAGAAATTAGAACCTTGGTTTTGGAAAAACGACGAGCAAGAAAGCGTTGGCAGCAAACCAGAGATCCGGCACACAAATTCATCCTGAATAGACTAACGGAAAACCTGAAAGAAGAAATTAAGTTAATTAAAGAACAGTCATTCAACAATTATATTGAGAATTTGTCACCCAAAGACAATTCAGAGCATTCATTATGGAAGGCCACGAAGAAATTTGACAACCGCATCACGCATGTTCCCCCGATTCGTAAATCCGACAACTCATGGGCCAAATCCGATGCCGAAAAAGCGGAGGTTTTTGCAAATCATCTGGCCGAAATATTTACACCAAATGTGACTTATTCAAACGTGAACGTCGCATCTCCTCAAAATTCTGCTGATCAGGAAATAGGCGTAATAACCCATAAGGAGGTGTCACGCGAGATCAAAAAGAGTCTTAAAGCGAAGAAAGCTCCTGGTTTCGACTTAATAACATCTGAGGTGCTGAAAAACCTACCAGCTAGGGCTATTAAAATGCTAACTTACCTGTTTAACGCCGCCTTTAAACTGAAGTACGTTCCTACGTCCTGGAAAGTAGCTGAAGTCATCATGTTGCTGAAACCTGCCAAGCCGCAAAATGAGTATAAGTCATATCGCCCCATTTCTCTTCTCCCAGTGGTCTCTAAACTGTTTGAGAAACTGTTTCTGAGGAAGCTGAAAGTGTTGATTGAAGAAAGAAACGTTGTTCCAAACCATCAGTTCGGTTTTAGAGAAAAACACTCTACTGTAGAGCAGATCCATCGAATCACTGACGTAATAGAAAAGGCTCTGGAAGAAAAAGAGGTTTGTTCCGCGATGCTGATTGATGTAGCTCAGGCGTTTGATCGTGTTTGGCACGAAGGATTAATCTACAAATTACATGACTTTCTACCAACTCAATTTGTCGAATTAATAAAATCGTATCTCAACGACAGACTATTTAGGGTAAGAGTGGGGGAAGATTTTTCGGAATTAAAAAAAATACATGCGGGGGTTCCACAAGGCAGCATACTGGGCCCACTATTGTTTGTTTTGTACACCAGTGACGTTCCTACTCCTCAAGGGGTCACCGTTGCTACCTTCGCAGATGATACAGCCTTACTAGCAGTTGACAAAAATTATTTAGATTCTTCTAAAAAATTGCAAAATGCAAATGACCAAATTTCAGAATGGACTACAAAGTGGAAAATAAAACTTAACGAGGCGAAGTCAACAAACATTAACTTTACAAATAGGCATATACACCAGCACGTTCCTATTTACCTAAATGGAGTACCTGTACCACACGAATCAACCGCAAAATACTTGGGCATGACACTTGATGTGAAATTAAAGTGGAAAGAACATGTTAAAATCAAGAGAAAAGAGCTGGATCAGAAATACAGAAAATTGTACTGGCTGATCGGTCGCAAATCAAAACTGTCAACGAAAAATAAGCTACTTGTCTATAATCAGGTGCTAAAACCAGTCTGGCTATATGGAATTCAACTTTGGGGCTGTGCCGCTAATCAACACATAAACATAATTCAACGTTTTCAAAACAAGGTCTTACGTAACATGGTGAATGCGCCATGGTACGTAAGAAACAGTGATTTACACCGGGATCTGAACATTCCCTGGGTCATCGACGAAATTAAAAGGCTTGCGATAAAGCATGCTGCTAAATTGGAGGAACATATTAACACGGAGGCATCGAAGTTGACCAATACATCCGGGATCACACGACGCCTGAAAAGAAAAAAGCCGTTGGACCTTCTTTAGCAACATATTGTCTACCAGAGGTTGCGTCAGTTCACCGTTGGGTGTCTGATGTTATAGTTAAAACATCTAGTAATAAGCTTACAACGAAAAACTGATGGTTGGCCCTAGGCCAGTTTTAGTTCAAATATAGGAAAAAAAAAAATCTGTGACCCAATTTATTTATGACACTTGATAAAACATAAAAGGTCTATTATTTATTTTGAAACTCTTAAACTGATATAGTATTACATATATTACAAATTGAAAGTATGTACCTGTTTAATTAATCATTATTATTTAATTTATGCAATTGAAATTTGTTTTGTTAAATGAATAAAAATTAATTTAATGAATGATACCATGAAAAATACCATATTAAATAAATAATACCAATTTTCTTAATTTCTTATTTAAAAACATTTTTGAAAATACATACATATTTGTTAATTAATTCAAAGTTTCAAAAAATTTTAAAGTGAAAAAAAAATTTGTACAAAGTTATCTGATTATAAAAATAGAAAAGGGAATATTTTGAATTTTCCTAAAGTTCGAATGCATGGTATTTCGAAAGTAAGTAAAATACAAAATTAAGTAATGTTTTTATTTTGTGCCCTTTATTAGGCCTTTTAGAAACTGTTTGTTTGAAGTACCTATCTTTTTTGGAACGGAAGTTATAATTAATAAAACTTGGATAAGTAGAAATTTAATGAAAATTTGTTACCTATCTAGTTTGGAACAAAAGTTTTATCCATTTTCAACCCTCTAGCCCATGGATGTCAAGACTTTTCAAAACTATGGGTCAATTTCCAATATTCTGTATGACAAAAGGGCCACAAAATAAAACAATTAATTCAATTTTTAAGGTGTATAAACGTTTATTTATTTTTTATTAGAAGTACTGGGAGCTGAGTGACACTGCTTCTGTTGAACAAGTCTTAAAATATTGGGTTGCATATTTGTAGTAGCCAATCGTAGAATTGCAAGTAGATTATCATCTGTAAGTCGATTTCTGTTTCTATGGTTTAAACTTTAAACCATAATAATATTTTAACAATTCGTTTTAGAGGGCCGCACCAAAATAAGAAAATGGCCGCATGCGGCCCACGGGCCGCACTTTTGACATCCATGCTAGCCAATTGTATATATTTTGTATACCTTTCTGAATCCCCTGCATACTCTTCAAAATTCGATCTTTACAATAATTTATTGCTTTCATTTTCCTCTGATATTTAAGAAAACAAGTTTTGTTAAAAAACTTTTATTAAATAAATATTATTTTGTAAAAGATAAATCTTATTAATATTATAGACTGTTTTTTTTACATATTCAGAAAATTTACATTTACCCGCTTTTTTCAAGTAATCTAATATTATTATAGGTAGTTTTGTAGTAGAGGATGATATACATCAGTGTTCTTCAAATGGCAGCTCGCAGATCGGGTGCGACCCATTTGAAAATTTTTGTGGCCCTTCGCACATACGTAGTATTTGAATATAACACATCATGGCAAACTCACAAAAAGTACAAATCACAATATCTGTTATAAAGAAATGTAGGCGAAAAAAATATTTTTTCTTAAAAAACAAACAACGAAAAATTTTTTTCCGAAATAAAAAACGAAAATTTTTTTTCGTTTTTTTTTTACGGTTTTATTTAATTTTTCTCTTATGTGCATATTAATTTTTTTAACTTTCATACATACATGTACGTAACATATTTTCAATTTTTTTGTTATACTTGAAAAACAATGACAAGTGAAAATTGTTTGGATTTATTCAATTCATTTTAATTATATTATTTTTTTGGCACTTCAAATTTCAAGATAAAAACGAGCGCTTGAGTATTTATAGATTGGACAGCACTGATATACACCTACAGTGTTAACTGATTTAAAATTTAACACGGTCCCGTAAAGAAATCTTTTGCGTCGTTTCCTAACAAACGCAATATGTGTTTATTTGCAAAAAGAATAACGTACATGTGTCAACTGTTGATTCAAATTGAGTCATCATGAAAACTAAATTATTGTTATACACAACTACTCTATTGGTATCAGATTCCTATCAAATTTTTATAGCCAATATAGTGCAAACTAAATTTTTTTAATTATTTTGCTGATATTTGATTTTTTTTAAATTGTCGGTTTATAGATAGCAAGTATTTAAAATATTCCAACCAAAACTTTGGTATTAACACATAATATAAAACTGATAAGTAAATACTCATCCTATTTTATATTAGATTAACTAGAAGATTTAGTTCAATGAGTAATTGCTCCCTAGCTTGTATTTTGTATTGCAATTCAACGAGTTGTGACATTTTCGTATGAAAAATGTACATACATAAATGTTATTAAAAACTGCAATGCAAATATTGTAAATCGCCATTTATCATTCAGGGCATCCCTGAGTATAATATAAATGTGGTATATATAAATTTTACGAGTATCGATTCTTTTTCAGTCAACATTTTTTCATTGGGCCGCCATTTGTCAAAGTGGCTTGGAAGTTGAATAAAATAACTAATACCTATATTTTCATCGAATAATTTGATAATTTTAGTATATACACTTTTTAATTATCAAATTAAATTTGCTGGAAATGGCAGAATATTTAGCCTCTATATTCGGAACAGAGAAAGACAAGTATTATTTTTTTATGAAAATGATAAAATTGTTTGTGATGTGTTTATTATTTGATTTATTTCAGAGTAAATTGTTCATTTTATTTTAAAATTGGTGCATGCCGTCATGGAGATCGGTGTTCGCGGATACATAATAAACCAACATTTTCTCAAACAGTTTTATTGCAAAATTTATATGTGAACCCTCAAAATTCTGCTAAATCTGCGGATGGTAGCCATTGTAAGTTTTTTTTTTAATGTATGTACTAGGTAGTGTAAAATAAAATTTAATATAATATTCAGTGGTTGCAAACGTGTCTGATGAAGAAATGCAGGAACATTACGATAACTTCTTTGAAGATGTATTCGTTGAATGTGAAGATAAATATGGGGAAATAGAAGAAATGAATGTTTGTGACAATTTGGGAGATCATCTAGTTGGTAATGTTTACATCAAATTTCGAAACGAGGAAGACGCTGAAAGAGCAGCAAAGGTATTGAACAATCGTTGGTTTGGTGGGCGCCCCGTATATGCTGAATTGTCTCCAGTAACAGATTTTAGGGAAGCTTGTTGTAGACAGTACGAAATGGGTGAATGCACACGTTCTGGATTTTGCAATTTTATGCACTTGAAACCAATATCCAGGGAGTTGAGGAGGTGATTAATATTTTATTTTTAACAGCAACAAATATTTCACAAATATAAATTTGAATTGAAAATCTGAACTAGATTGCAATACAATTTTTATGTTCATTTGAACTTCACTCATTTTTTACATTTTTGCAGATACTTATATTCAAGAAGAGGTGGCCGCGGTTTTGGTGGAGGACGTTCTCGTAGCAGGTCAAGATCTCCTAGAAAACGTCGTTCAAGATCTAGAGAACGACGTAGATCAAGAAGTAGGGATCGAAAAGGAAGATACTAATTTTATATGATTGAACATAAGAATAAATGTTCGTTAAACTGTTTTTGTAATTTCCGAAGGTGTAAAGTTTATATTTTAAAAATAATATCAAAATCGGAATTTATATTATGAAAGTCTTATCAAAAATTGTGTTTAACATCCATTTCACACAAATTAATAAAAATACAGCAAAGAAAATTGTAAAACCTACAAATAAATCTTATTTTATATTTTATTCTAAAACTGTTTTTATGTTCTAAAATACATTAGATAGATGACTTATCTACGTATGTATATATTTTTTAATTTACTTGTTCCTTATCTCTTAGTTCCTTTTTTAACTTTTTAGTTAAATCGATTTGCTGTTGAAGATTATATGTATTTTCTAATTTTCTTCGTTGCTGCCTTTCGACATCCTTGATTACCCCTTCATGAAGTTTTTGTCTTCATATAAAAATTATTAAGGGTTAGCATAAAATTTTTCCATGTTAAAAATATACCTGTCACTTGTTTGTTTGTAGTGAACATATCCAATAATGCCAAAAGATGTGATGCATGAAGCAAAAAGAGTTAGTTTTGCGGTAGCAGACATAATTAATTTAACAAATCTATTGAGGTTAAAATATGTTTCAACTTGTTTACATTTTCCATTGACATCTAAATGTTCGAAAATTCTCTTAGGGTGGCGCAGGTAAACAATTAAAAGCATTTAAACGAGTTCAAAACAAAATTTTTCTTATTATTATTAAACTACTGATATTACTTTAACACAGTTATGCAATATTTTTGTGTAGAATATCTATACATTCTAATTAGTTATAACATAAATTTACATTATGTTCTTTTCATTATATAAAATATAAAATGAATATATATGTTTGTAGCATGAAATAACATGAACTGAAGTTCCTTTTAACTATGTGGAGATGCGAGACTCATTTACTTCAAGAGTCTTTGCTTAAACGGGCCTGTTTCCACACCTTGTTGTAAGGTACAACTTATATACACATACGGCAAAATCTGAAATTAATCTGTCTGCTGAAAGTCATGCAAATGCTGTTTGACGTCAGACTTTTCTAGCGGCAAATAATAAAAGTTACATCATTACTCTATTCTCATTAGATTTACTGTCAGAATCTTAACTTTTATAAGGGGGAGTTTTGAACAGCACAATAACTTTTTAGTGGGACTTTTGAACAGCAATTAACTGATTTTTATGTTAGCTGTGATTTTGATATTAATTCAAAAACAAGTTATTAAATTATTTTAGCGTAAAATCAGAATTCCATCAGATAATTTCAGTCTGATATGTAAAAATCATCGAGCTCTATCACAGCTTTAATCTTAAACATAGCGCGCTATACTATGTGCGAAAGTGCAAGAATGGGACAGGTCGATGTGTAAAATTTTTTTCATTCCTTCATTTATGAATTCATATGTATGTGAATTTTTAAAAGATTGCGGAATGCCGATGCAAGGCTTCCAAAAGTTTGAAAAATTTTTATAATTTTTTTTGTTAAATATTTCTGCATGCTAGTAAATTTTTATCATGTTTTTTATAGTTGAATATCTTCAATACAAACTGAGTCAATAATAATTTTTTTTTGTTACTGCTTCCTTCTGTTACTCGGTATTCTTTGTATTTGAAATTTAAATACTTCCGACAACTTCAAATTAACAATTCTTTTTGTTGAAAAAGAGAATAATATCAAGTTTTTGACTTATGTGGGGCTTGATGAAACAGAAAAAAATATGGTTCTTCCTATGGCATTTCTAAATCGTTATTTTGCTACATTATTTTATGTGTTTCTTTCACTATTTAGTCTTCTTTTTAATAAAATAATCAAAAGAGGAAGATACAAATAATTCATTTAGCTAACTTTGCAATAAATTAATTTTTTTCCGTGAACACATTTGTCCAATAAAAATAATGCTAAAACAATGTAAGTGCATCTACGTTTTTACATTGGCATTATTGAACAATTTTATATTCTACGTAGTCACTATTTATATTTCGGGTCCTGGCAATACTAGTGCTGCCAGGTGCAATCTGACACTTCCATTGGAAAGTTTGACATTTTTTAGGACAACTTCACTCAGAACGTTTTGTCATTCGAGCGCGAATTTTTTTGTTTACAGTGACTTGAAAAATTCATCTCGGTCAAAAAATGGAATTGTCCCGTGAAAATTTTCGTGCGATGATTTTTTACGATTTTCGGCGCGGATTATCGAGACAAGAGTGTCTCGATCAACTTGTTTCGACTTTTGGTGATGAAGCACCATCAAAAACCACTGTAAATCGCTGGTACCAAGAGTTTGGTTTCGGACGCCGTTCGCTCCAGGATGAATTTCGTGAAGGTCGGCAAATTTCGGTCGTTTTCCCGGAAACCATCGATGCTGTGCGCGAAATGATAGTGATGGACCGGCATGTGACATACTGTGAGATTGAGGCATCCTTGGGCATTAGTTCCACCAGCGTACATAAGATATTGCATGAACATCTTGCCGTGAAAAAGGTGTGTTGTCGATGGATCCCAAAAAATTTGACGATTGCACAAAAAAAGGCTCGTGTCGATTGGAGCAAAGAAATGTTGAAAAAATTCAATCGCGGTGCGTCAAAAGACGTTTATAAGATAGTCACAGGTCATGAATCATGGATCTATGCATATGAGCCCGAAACGAAACAGCAATCGACCGTATGGGTGTTCCAAGACGAGCCAAATCCAACAAAAGTTGTTCGTGGAAGAAGCACATCGAAGCAAATGATCGCGTTTTTTTTTGGTATAACCGGTCATGTGGCCACAGTACCTTTAGTGGAACGTAGGACGGTCAATTCTGAATGGTACACCACCATCTGTTTGCCGAAAGTTTTCGAAGAAATAAGGAAAACAAACAAGCGCCGGCGAATCATTCTTCATCATGACAATGCAAGCTCTCACAAATCAGCTGAAACAATGGACTATTTGAGCACTCAAAATGTCGAATTGATAGGTCATCCGCCGTACAGTCCTGATTTAGCACCCAATGACTTCTTCTTATTCCCTCACATCAAAAAAAAAATGCGTGGACAACGATTTTTAACACCTGAAGAAGCAGTCGATGCGTTCAAAAACCATGTTTTGGAGGTGTCTCAATCGGAGTGGAAAAAGTGCTACGAAAATTGGTTTCAGCGCATGCAAAAGTGTATTGATCTTCATGGGGAATATTTTGAAAAACAATAAAACCATTTCCAATGATAAATGTTTGTTTTTTATTGCTAGACCCGAAATATAAATAGTGACCCATGTATACTTTTTCTGTCCCAGAACCATTTAAACAAGTTTGAAGCTTGCATAAATTTTAATTTTTTAATCTTTTTAACTTTTTATTTAGCAAAAATGAAGAACACGCAATAAAAATGTTTTAAGTACCATAATATAAAATCACCTTTATCGTTGTTTTTTTTATTCCTTTTATAAATTTTGGGCGAATATTAAATAATTACTTTTATTGAAAAAAATTTTAAACGTTGACATATTTATTGGCTGTTTTACAAATTAAAAATAGTGACAGATTTTATTTGTTAGATAGTGGAAACCGCAAACGAAACGAATTGTCATAATTTGATGTTAATGCATTTGATTTGGATTTGGTAACACTGTATAATAGTGACACATTTTTGTGCAAAAGAAGTAGAAGCAGGGAAAATAATTAGTAACAAAAATTTTCTAGAAGTTTCAAAATCAGGAGAATTTGTGAAACGCGGTTAATTTTGGTGTTATTTAATATCCAGATTGAAGAAAGTTCGATTATTTTCGCACGTAGTAATTTATTATTGATTTAAAAAAAAGAAAGATCTTTAACAAAAATCCCTTTGAAATATGGATCAGGTAAGTAACTTACCAAATTTTTTTTTGGTTAGGAACGTTAGTATGAGACAATGATGAAGCTTTTTGATGTATCTTTTGAAAATTTCAGATTAATGCTTTGAAGGAAAAAGGAAATAAGGCCTTAGCGGAAGACAAATATGAGGAAGCAATTGCATCCTATACAGAAGCAATAAATTTGGATGAAAAAAATCATGTTTTATATAGTAACCGGTCCGCTGCCTATTCAAAAGCAGGGAAATATGATTTGGCTTTAAAAGATGCTGAAAAAACCGTCTCGCTTAATCCCTCTTGGGTAAAGGGCTATTCCAGATTAGGTGCTGCTTATACCGGTTTGCAAAAATATCATGAGGCGTTCAAAGCTTATGCTGATGGTTTAAAATATGATCCAAATAACGCTGCTTTAATTCAAGGGCAGAATGAAATAAGGGAGGCCGTATTAGCTCAACTTTTAAATCAAACGCCCATGGATATAGATCCGCAATCGCCACCATCATACTCAACTACTAAAACAACAAATAATAAACCAACCGATACAAACAAAAAAGAAGCCAATGTGGAGAATTTAACAGAAGAAGAAAAGAAAAAATTAGAAGCCAAAAATGCTAAAGAAGCAGGAAATGCAGCTTATAAAAAAAAGGATTTTGAAAATGCTTTAATTCATTATAATAAAGCCTTAGAAATAGACCCTACGGATATTACGTTTCACAATAATATAGCTGCCGTTTATTTCGAACAAAAAGACTATGACAAATGTATTAAAGAATGTGAAAAAGGAATTGAAGTTGGAAGAGAAAATCGTGCAGATTATAAACTAATATCAAAAGCTTTTGCTAGAATTGGTAATGCTTATAGAAAAATGGAGAATTGGAAAATGGCTAAAACTTACTACGAAAAATCAATGGCGGAACATCGTACACCGGAAGTGAAAACTCTATTGAGTGAAGCAGAGAAACTTATCAAAGAACAAGAACGTAAAGCTTATATTGATCCAGTAAAAGCAGAAGAAGAAAAAGAAAAGGGAAATGAATTGTTTAAAAAAGGTGACTATAGTACCGCTGTTAAACATTATAGCGAAGCAATCAAACGTAATCCTGATGATCCGAAATTGTATAGTAATAGAGCTGCTTGCTACACTAAACTTGCTGCCTTTGACTTAGGATTAAAGGATTGCGATAAGTGTATTGAATTAGACAGTAAATTTATCAAAGGTTATATTAGGAAGGGAAAAATTTTACAGGTAACCATAGGAATTCAAGCAATCTTTTTTGTTTCAAACTATGCATGTTTTGACATATTTTAAGTTTTGAATTTATCCCTAAAAATATTTCAAGTTTTTATCTCAGTTTTAAGTCAGCTAAAATTTATATCTTTAATTTCTATATAGGGAATGCAAGCTCCAACAAAAGCATCTTCAGCTTATCAAAAGGCTTTAGAAATAGATCCCAATAACGCTGAAGCTCTTGAAGGGTATCGCGCTTGTTCGATGGGTTATTATAAAAATCCGCAGGAAGTATGGAAAAACGCAATGTCGGACCCAGAGATACAACAAATACTTAAGGATCCTGCAATGCGCCTTATTCTAGAGCAAATGCAAAGTGACCCGAATGCAGTTCAGGAGTAAGTTTACAGCAAAATAAATTTTTTTTTTTGATTTAACACTTTTTTTGTTTTTCATTGTTTTAGACATTTAAAAAATCCAGCTATAGCCGACAAAATAATGAAACTTTTAGGTTCCGGTATAATAGAAATTCATTAAAAAGTATTTCCCAGCAAAGAAAAGAACACAATAGAATAACGACATAGCTATTTGGACAGTATATTGAAAATAATTGCTTTATAAATGGTCTTTGATATCGAATTATTTTTTACAAAAATATTTTAGTTATTTTTAATATTTTATAAATACGGATTAATTTGCTGCGTTAAATATATAAAAATGTGCATTAAGGGCAAACATTTTTTCAGTAGCAAGTCTGAGATCACTAATTTCCATTTTTCTTTATGAATTTGTTATGTGTATACAAATTAAAAATTATTAAAATAAAATCAAAATAAGATATACTGCTTGGATTTCTTTATTTAAATCAGATTTTATAGGTGTTCTGATTTCAGTTAAAAGAATTATATTTGCCGCCTCTTTGATAATTAAACGTTGTGTTATGTAAAGAAAATTAAATGTTCAATAAGGTAAGAATGCCTTTACAGCCTATTTGAAAATTATTAAAAAAATTTCTATTTAATTTTTAAATTAAATAGAAATTTAAATTTCTAAATTTGCTTCATTTTTCTGCAGGTATCAGTTTTAATGTTCTTGCTCTACATTTGAATTCTAAGTTGGATATTTCCAAAGAAGAATTTGATAGTTCTTTTGTGAATTTCCGTCTTAGTTTAAATCAAACGTTTTTATTTATAACTGGAATGTGTGTAAGGCATATTTGCAATGAATTTTTTAATAAACCTATTAGCTTCTTTCAATTACATATCTTCTGTACTATAACGATAGGCTTCTTCTTCTTGTGCTTTTTTCACACTCTGCTTTTCAAAATACTTTTTTTCGTAACCATTGGATCTGTCAACCCCATCCCATCTATATCCTGGCCTAATTCCAAAACGATTTTCCGAATAGCTGCCGTTGTAAATTGGTACTTCTGGATTTCTTTTATTAACTCTTTCTTTTTCTTTTTTGTTTCGTAGGTATTCTAACATTGGATCACCTTCTCTTTCTACTTGTTTTAGCATATCGTCAAGATCTTTGTCGTTTGCGTAACGGGCTAAAGGTTTACTACTTTCATATTCTTCTTCAATTAATTTTGTTTTATGACTTTCAATTTGCTTCAGACCTTTACCCCATGAGTTGTACACTTTTTGCTTTTTCTCACTGTCTTCCTCTTTTCTTTTTCTTATAATTTTTTCGTCTTCTGTTTCAATTTTATTTCGTACGTTTGACCTGATAGTTGGCTCAGAAAATTTGTCTGCACAAGTTGATAATTTGCTGAACATTTCTGACTCTTTCTTTCGAAATATTTTCATTTCTTCTGCAAGATCCTTTGCGGTTCTTAACCCAGAATCCTTGCCGCTGATCATTTTTGTATTCTTTTCATGATAAGGTTTTGATACTTCGCCTTTCGTAAAAGATGATCGATATTTGTTATTTGGTTTTTCAGTTACATTTTCAAAATCATTTTCATACTTGCGTAAACGATGTTCATTTTTAGAAGAGAATTTCATGCTGGAGCTTTGTCTATCCGAAGAGTTACTTCTTCTTATTTTATTTGAATGATTGCTTCGAAATGTTATTTTCTCATTTTTTAAATCTTTGCTCTTAGACGATCTTCTTTCAACCAATCTTGGTGGGGAAATATCACTGCTGTAGTTTGTATCTTTTTCCAATTTTTTAGAATTCTTTCCCTTATAAGATCTTCCCTTTTCAGATTTTCGTCTTCTTTCAGGTGATAAGTCGCTATTTGAGCTTTCTTCTTTTGGCAAATATTTTTCTCGATCCAGTTTTCTTAAAGGAGAACTTTTTCTATTGTACTCGTTTGTTTTACAAATATTTGTTCTTTTTCTTGGAGGAGATTGATCTTCTTGAAGAAACTCCTTTTTTTTATTGAAATTTTCATCATTTGCATACAAATGCATATCTTTTAATGTTTCAGCTTTATATTCATTGCTGTTTTTAACTTTTGGAAGTTCTACGGTAGAGAAGTTTTTTAAAAATTTTGGTATTTCAGGTTTTTCTTCTACTAATAATGTTTTTTTCCACTTAATAGAGGTTTTAATAGCAGATGGTTCCACTCCTTCTCCTAATATTATTTGTGGGGCATCTTCTCCTTCAAGTACCAAATCATCGTCATCGACACCAATAGACTTAATTGCTTCATCATCGTCTATTAACTTTACTCTGAAATGAGAATTATATGAATCTTTTTATATGTACATTACCCTTGTTTTTTACCCTTTGGCTAATCGTCGAGAATTTTTACTTTTCTTAACTTTTTGTTTATTTCCAGAAAGATATTTTTTTAAATATTCTTTCTGGTCCGGGAAACTTTTAACCATTTTCAAACGCGCGGTCTTTTACTTATTCTACTGTTTCTTACGATAAAATAATTACTTCGTTTCAGTTATTATAAACGCAATATTATATTATATTTGTGATAATATCATATATAATGTAAACAATATAAGTTACAAGGAAATTTTTTTGGTTGTCAAAGTTTATGACATCTTTCAATTGAGATAATGTAACATTAATGCGACTAAAGTACAATTGAAATACAGTAAGACCTTTTTTTATGGGTAATATGTTAATGTGATTTTGAAGTTTTGCGATTTGTATTTCATCCAAATATTTATTGAAAAAACTTATTTAGGAAGCACAATTCTGAACGATGTATATTTCAACTTGAGCTGCAGGTCTGCATCTCTAGATGTGCTATATAACAAATTAGTAGGATGATGAATCTCATAGCTCAATTACTTTTCTAAAGAGATAAACAGAACAATAATAAAGTTTGGAGCAATTCATAAAGTCTGTTCTGATGAAGAAGGCGATTTTCAACCTCTTCACCAACCCACTACCCGGTTCTTTTGAGGAATCTATCTAAATCCTCGACGCCAATCTTTGATATCCCATCCTCTTCGTCCACGCTTGCCATCAGGAGTCGAATTTCTCAAGCTGTCCCGCATGTAGAAGACAAGAATAATGTAGCCAAATTAATTTCCTTATTAAAATGTTCGTAACCTAAATTATTTTAAAAAACCTAAGATTTCACCAATTCTAACATTGAATTTTGATTAAAAGCAAAACACACCTCTGGTGAGAAACAAAGAATTGAATAAATTAAAAGTCTACACTATAGTAAAACGTTTACGTAAAATATTATGTAACGTTGCAAGGTTGTTTACTGAAAGTTTTTTATGTGAGATTTTCAGATCTGTAATTTTTATATAATCAAGATTATCAGAAAACAATACAAAAAATTAAAGAATGTCTTTCTATGAGAGAGTAATTATTCGTTTAGTTTTTTTTATTTCTTTTAGTTTATTTAGAGTTGTGTTTTTACAAGCTGTCAACATGCGATGATTTCTGGAATAATACCGGACTTATTTTAACTGTAAGTTAGCACAAACGAAAATTTTGTGCAAAATTGACATTTTAAACAATTTGATGTTTTATTTTTGTTGTTTAATTAACCCATTTTGACAGCTTTAATTTTTAGTTCCTTTCCCATCATATAGAATTTGAGCATTTAAAAAAAACATCACTGGGAATTTAAAAAACTTATTTCGTAGATAATTATTAAACTAGAATTTGGCAATCTTCAATATTATAGTAAATATTTAAGATTTATTTTTTTAAATCGAAATTTCGAATTGCTGATTTTTAGGTGTAAGTTACAAAATAAAAGCAAAATGGTATTGCAGAAAAAAGTAACGCCGAAAATTATATTAGCACTTTCTTGTCTACTAATTATTGGCTTGACTGATGTAACCGCTGAAATTGAAAAAGAAATTCCCTTAACAAAGCTGGGACAAAATGTTGGGGGACCGACAATGACTTTTTTGTATTGGTTAGTATTTCATTTATATCAAAAGTGCATAAATTAGGTTAATTTGAATTTTTATAAATCAATGATAACAATATCGATAAGTGTAAAAATTAATTACATATAATATGTATGTACACACCTATGTGTGTATATAGATTTAATAATCCACTTCAATTAATTGTGAATGTAACTATTTTGTTCTACATGTTATTTGAAATAAACATTTAAATGTAATTATTTTTTCTAAATGAGCCTCTAATGGGATCATATTTGATGAAATATTAAAAACAATAACATAAATAAATAAGCACTTGCACATTTAATTTGCTGTTTCTGAACTTCTTCCTTATATGTCATCATAATAATTTGATAATTAATTATATTTTATTTAAAATTATTTAAAAATAAACTTTAAAAAAATTTATATTGCAATTTAGCTATTCTTGTGGATATAGAAAGGCATTTGAAGACTATGTTGGAATTTTGAATGAAAAATATCCGCAAATAACTATTCGTGGAGCAAATTTTGATCCCCCCGGATTTAATTTATACCTTTCAAAAGGAGTGTTTGCGGTCAAAATTTTGCTTATAGTTATTGTGCTAACCCAGTTTGATATATTTGGAGCTATGGGTCAACAAATTCCGAGTTGGTGGAGATTTTGCCATGAAAATAAATTTTACACTTGTTTAATGGTATTTTTTGTTGGGAACATGTTAGAAGCTCATGTAAGTAAGCAACATTTAATAGAAATAGAAACAGAAAAATGAATGTAATTGTAGTTGGTGTCTTCAGGAGCATTTGAAATATCCTTAAACGATGTACCAGTTTGGTCAAAATTACAAACAGGGCGAATTCCTCAACCACAAGAATTATTTCAAATTATAGATAGCCATTTACAATTTAATCAAGAAAAGATTAACGACAATCCAGATTTTGTGAAATAAAATCGAACAGTATAGAAAAGAGATAATATAAAAGAAGATACATTTAAATATACTTAAGAACTCGTAAGACTTTTTGATTTACACCTTTGTTTCGAATTCTTTATTGAAATTAAGAAGTTTTGTAAAATAAATTTGAAATGTGATTTTTTTTTAACATTGAGGTCTATAAAGTAAAATGTTGTATTTAATTTGTAAAGGTGTCTCCTATAAAATTTTAGTCAGAAATTTGTTTTAATTAGCTATGATAAGTTGGTTATTGTGTTTTCTTATCTAAATTTATTTTATTTCAAAAAAATTGTTTTTTTGTTTATCATAGTATAATTTATATATACATAAGTTCGTAGTTAAAATAAAATTGGTTGGATTTTGAAGTATTTCAGTCACAATAGATAATATACATAATTGTTTCCTTACGGTAAGATAGCAATAAAACAACTTTAATTTTAAATAAATTTGTGCGGTATAATAAATTTTTAAATGAGAAATTAAACACTGCTTTCACTGTTACGATCAACTAATAACAAGTGTAGTTCGTACACTGTATCAAAAAATAATGAATGATTTGGAGTTTTACTTTGAAAATTATTTTATAAAAAATCTAATATTTTTTAATATTGTTATTGATGCAGAGAAATAAAATAATTTCTTCAAAGTAGGTACATTTCTACGTCCTAATAATTTTTCAAAATTAAAATGATTTACATTTTAAATTAAAACTCAAAATGGATTAAAAAATTTGGAAATATTTTTTTTTTGCAACCTGCTATTGAAAATAAAGTTCTTTAATCCATTTTCAAAAAAATGTAGTTTTCCATAACAAAAATCAGCCTTTTTTCGAAAAAGAAAAAAGAAAGAATGGGGTTCCAATCAAGTAGAATGGAGATAAAAAGAAAGTGTAACCCATGAAAATTTCCGGCACTTAGATATTGAAGAATATATTACATGTACATACTTACACATTATATATTATTCTTAAAAAAATTAACTGAAAGTTTAAAATTGAGAAACAAAAAATCGGAATTCAATTATAATAAAATTTTCGGTTTTTTCCTTAAATTACTGGAAAAAGTCTGAATATTTTCATGGTCTCTTTACTTGTATTATCTTGAGCAATTTAAAATACATGTACTTATGCAACTACAAAAAGAAAACTGTAGGTAAGTACTATAATACATATTTATTTTTAGCTATAAAAGTCATCACTGTGTAAAGAGAGATAATGTATTACTAGGAGAAAATTGTTACAAATATGGGAATGATATTAACGCTAAAAGAATAGAAATGTCTTTTTTGTTATTAATTTAAATACAAAAAATCGTTTTCATTGTAGGTATGAAAGGATCAACTAAAGTAAAGTCTGGGTGGAAAAATTGGAAGAGCTCAAGCAGATGTTGGAAAAAGCTTATCATGAAATTGTCAATTATAATTTTTATTAAGAAAATTGAAGTAGGTATGTCAGTTTATTTATACATAGATTAAGACTATAAATTAGACCCAGTCTATAGATTAAGACTAAAAAAAATGTATTATGAATAAATAGATGTAATAAATTTTTACAATAAACTTTTGTTAACTGACATAATTATATTGACTCTGTTTTTAACGAACTGGAGTAGTAAGTAGAGACCTAAATGAGTTTTTAATATTGATTTCACCCATTTCTCTTGTGTTATGTTTTCAAAATTTAAAATTTTTTAATAATTCACTGCAGTAACGGTATTTTTTTAAAAATGAAAGCCCAGAATGAGAAACACTGTGTATGTCCATTATATATGTGCATATGCTTGTGTATTATGAGGGTGAATTATTGTGTATCTAAATATTGTATTATATCATGTACATATAAGTATTAAAAAAGTTATATTTCAATTTTTTCCTAATACATATCTACATTTCCAAAGTTTATAAATAATATTATGCAAAATAATTTTTAATATTTTTTTACATTTGATAACACAAATAATGAGTTAAAAAGATTTCTGTATTCTACTCGATAAATACAACTACTTTAAATTTTGTTTAAATTGTAATATCATTATGTTTTAGAATATTTTAGTTTTTACATGGCAGTTTACAAAATCTTATTTTTTAAATATTTTTCATAATAATGAATTAAGTTTTTCACTTTTTGCACAGCAGTTTTCTTATATTATTCTAAAAAACAAACATCTACATACATACATATGTACATATACCTATGTATGTATTCAAAATTCTTTTATAATCAGTACTTGTTGTTTGCTTTTGTAGCTTTTCTTCTCTTTGTTTTGAAAACGTTAATTTAATTTTATTGCGTATTCCATATACATACATACATACATGTATAATATAGTATGCAAATATTTACAGCATTATAAATACGAAATCTGCTGGCACTTTAAAAGCTATTTAATCTTTCTTTAAAATTATACAAAATATGGAAAAAAAGAAATTTTAATTTTCAATATAAAAGATAGGGACATCAAAGTAATAGTATTTCTAGCTAAAAATTTGAGCCGTAGTTCGGATTCTACATGTTTACAATGTTATTTATATTCTACAAATAAACTATTTGAAAGGTAACAAAATCATAAACTTAAAAGAACTTAGAATTAAAATTATTTTTTTTAACTATTTTTTTAACTTAAAAACGACGTTGTGTTGGTCGCCGAGTTCTTTGTGCATTTGGCCTTGGTCTTCTAGGGTAAACTGGTGGTGGTGGTTGTGGTCGATGTTCTTCCTCAGGTCGTCTAAATTCCAAGCCCGTTGGCTCAGGGAAAGGTGGTAAATCGTGTCGTGATTGATATCGTTTCTTGCAAACAACACATCTAAAATAATTTTAAAATTAGTGCCCTAATTTTGTAATAAAGTACTGAATATTTACAGACCTGCTTATTTTGCTTGTATGATCTTTTTTAAGTGTTCGTTGATTTGGTTTAATGAATTGCTCATGCTCTTCAATAACAGCCAACCAGAAATTAGTTAAAGGATCATAAAAATTACACCTGCCATGACCTGAACATTCTATAATTGGATTTGTTCGGAATTCTTCTAAACATGATCCAGGTGAGGATAAGTCTTGTCCAAAACCGCCGCTATTGTCGTGAGTTAACTAGCAAAATATTTTTTTTTATCAAAAATAATTTTAATTATAAAAAATTTATACCATTAAATAGCTATAGCCAGCCCACATTTCATCCCATCCTTTTGGGCAATCTGGGAGACTCATACTTTGGCTATGCAATGCCATTATAGTTGTTCGGGTTTCACAAACGACGCACCTAACAAAACATTGAAAATTATTAAAAATGTTCTAAAGTATACATTACTCAAATTTCAATCATATGTATTTACCTTGAAATGTAATTTTCAAGATCCCTCGATTCTATAGGTGTCATTGACATTGGCATTGGTTCTTGTGTTGCTAGCCATAAACTGTCTTCATTTGTTTGAGCATAATTACACACATTGTTAGTACCACACAATGAAAATGGCATTGTTGTAAACCTTTGTAGACATGAACCAGCTTTTCCAAAATCTTGACCCACAGCGCGACTGTTACCTATAATGGCTGCTAAGGAGTAGCCTTCCCACAACTTTTCAGTATTAGCAGGGCATTCAGGAATGCGAACTGTTTGTGAATGGCGTGTAAAAGTATATCCTCTACTTCTGGGAGGGGGTCCGGGTGGCGCTGGATCACCTCTTTCACCCTTGTAACCTCTTATACCAGGCAAACCATCAAAGCCAGGTGGTCCTGTCGTACCAGGTTCACCTTTTCTTCCTGGCAACCCCATATATCCTTCGATGCCAAATTCACCGCGGTACCCCTTCAAACCTCTATAGCCAAATGCGCCAGGTGCCCCAATAAAACCAATTTCTCCAACTTCGCCGGGAAAACCAGGTAAACCTGCATCTCCTTTAAAACCAGGTCTAGCCATCTCATAAGGATAAGTTACGCCTCGTTCTCCCTTTAAACCTTTGACACCTTCTAAACCTTCAATACCATTCCATCCTTGATCACCTATTGGTCCTCTTGGACCTCTAGGACCAAATCTTCCCGGCTGACCAGGTCTTCCAAACATACCCTGCTCTCCTTTTTCACCGTCTATGCCAGCATATCCAGGGTGTCCTCTGTCACCGACATCTCCTCGTATTCCCGGTATTCCATATCCCGGATTACCTGAAGGTCCTCTAATTCCAGGGTCTCCTGGAAGACCTCTTAAACCTGGTGGGCCTGGTTGTCCTGGAATACCGTCTATTCCCGGGTAACCGCCATCACCAGTTATGCCTTTGATTCCGGGGAAACCATCAGATCCTGGTTGTCCTGCGAGTCCAAATGGGCCGTCGTCTCCATAATCTCCTGGAGCACCTTTAGGGCCTGTTGGTCCTGGTCGACCAGGTAAACCGTCGTGCCCAGGGTCACCTTCATCTCCTTTGTTAATAAATGATGGTAAGGTTCCTGGTAAACCACGTGGACCCCTATCACCAATTTGACCTTTTCGTCCTTGAAAACCCTCAGGTCCTGGTCGTCCAGCGTAACCAATGCTTCCTGGTAACCCTCTATTTCCTGTATATCCGGGTGGACCAACTTTTCCGGGTGGACCTGGTTCACCCACTAAACCTCGAGGGCCAACGTTACCTTTGTCACCACGATATCTTCCTTGCATTATTGCTTGTCCTGGCCTTCCTTCTTCACCTATTTCGCCCCTTTCACCTTTTTCTCCTGGCCGACCTGGAATTCCATGATCTCCAGAATCACCTTTTATTCCCATAGAACCCGGGAATCCAAATTCACCAGGTTCTCCTCTCATTCCGGGTGCACCGATTGGTCCTGGATCGCCAGACTCTCCCCTTCTTCCAATTAAGCCATTTTTACCAGCTAAACCTGGATAGCCGTCAAAACCAGGTTCTCCTATTTCACCCACTTGCCCTGGAAATCCTGTTGCTCCACGCTCACCTTTAAGACCACGTAGACCATCTAAGCCAAAAGATCCAGGTACACCCGTTTCACCTTTTAAACCACTGGGACCTTCGTAGCCCTAAAAAGTATAAAATGAATGCTTTAAGCATATATTTGATTTTATATTGAAATCCTCATATAATTTTAAATTTAACAAAAAAAATTTTCCGTATAGTGTATAGCAGTAGCATATGTAGAAATTCAAAAATATATAAATTTTGAATTATGAGGTATATTAAATATACAAAGTGGGTTTCGTTTGCAATTTCCTTGATCAAAGAAAAAGATTTTTTTTTTTCATATAAAGTTATGGATAATATACTCACAATTCCTGGTTCTCCTTCAATTCCTTTTGATCCTTGAGGTCCATTTAAACCATTTCTACCTGGCGGGCCCATGTTACCCGGATCACCCATTTCACCCTTCATTCCGCTAAAAGCTCGATCACCTTTTTCTCCTTTTGGACCTGTGTAACCATAAGCTCCTCTTTCACCTTTTTTACCTGGTCTACCATTTCTTCCTGCTCGGCCTACAGAACCAGGAGGGCCTTGGTCACCTTTCGGGCCCATAGGGCCAACATCACCACGACGTCCCATATGACCAGGCCTACCAAGCCTACCAACGTTACCAATTTCCCCAGTTTCTCCGATTGGACCGGGATAACCAGGTGTACCAACAAAACCGACATCGCCCGGAAAACCTATGTCTCCTGGTATTCCAAATCTTCCCGGAAACCCAGTATCCCCTTTGGCCCCGTGTCCTCCTGGAGATCCTCTTGGTCCAGTTTCACCTTTCTGGCCTTGTTGACCTGGTGGAGCGATTTTTCCGTCACGGCCTGGACTACCAGGTTCCCCTATTCGTCCTACAATATAGTCACCTCGTTCTCCTTGAGCACCTGGTAAACCCGGAATACCGTGCGGCCCATCGTCTCCTTTTTCGCCACGTCTACCTCTTAGTCCCGGCTTGCCTCTTGTACCAGGTCTTCCAGGATATCCTTTATCACCAGGGTACCCTATTATACCCGCATTACCAGGTAAACCATATTCACCGGGAATGATGTAAGGCCCGGGTTCTCCACGAGATCCTTTTATCCCCGGCAGACCATCTACTCCTGGCAGACCATTTAGTCCTGGCGCACCAGGTTCACCACTGGGTCCTTGGGGTCCAATTACACCAGGATAGCCTTTGAGACCTTCTGGTCCTGCTTCACTTATTCCTTGAGGTCCAACATCACCTCTCAGGCCAGTATAGCCATCATCACCTGGTTCTCCTATTGGACCATCATCGCCTCTTATTCCAGGTTCACCTCTGTCGCCTTTCTCTCCAGCATTTGCAGTTACTGATGGAGATGGTTCTCCTTTTTGCCCTTTTGCTCCATTGAATCCGCTTTCTCCTTTAGCTCCTCTAAAATTGACATTTACATTAAAAAATATTTTTATATTAAATACAGCTTTGTTACTTACTTGAAACCAGGATTTCCGGGGTTTCCAACCAAACTCCATATTGGAGCGTCTGCTCGTTGCCCTGGTATCCCGTCAGTGCCATCTGAGCCGTCTCGTCCATCTTTTCCTGGGCGTCCTGGAGTACCATAATCTCCTTGCTCTCCTTTTTCTCCCCATTGACCTCTGGCGCCCGGGGTTCCAACAAATCCAGGAACGCCTTGGTCTCCAGGTTCTCCTCTGTATCCGGTATCCCCCATATCACCTGGTTCTGGCTCATCTCTACTACCAAATAGTATAAGTCTCCCAGGTCTTCCTGGTCTTCCTGGCTTTCCAGTATCACCTGGAATACCTTCTGGCCCTAGTTGTCCCTTAAATCCTGGTTTCCCGGGATATCCTGCCAAACCTTTGGGCCCTCTCGGCCCTGTGAGGCCCTGCTTGCCTCTTAGTCCTGGTATTCCGGGATAGCCATTTTCGCCTTTGTCGCCAGGAGTCCCTGGTGGGCCTGGGGGACAAAATCCACAATCGTCGCCTCTCGGGCCCTTATCTCCTTTGTCTCCAGGAAGACCAAATAAACCATCAACTCCAGGCTTGCCTCTATATCCGGGTAAACCATCTGCACCTGGTTTTCCAGTTATGTTGAAACCACTTCCAGGTAAACCTTTTTGACCAGGGAGACCAGGCTCACCTCGATCACCAACATGTCCTGGTTGCCCTGGTCTTCCGGGTGTACCGGGATAACCTAATTATAAGAGATATGTAGTATTTGTTTCCACTATTCCTGTCAAATTTTATACCTTTCGGACCCCATTGATTTCTGCCAGCAAAACCTTTAGGTCCTGGTCTACCAATCCCACCTGGTCTTCCGGATGGACCAATAGGGCCCATGTTTCCATGTTCTCCGGGCGATCCTGGATCACCTTTTACGCTTAATCCTACTGGCCCTGGGGGTCCCGGAAGACCGGGATTTCCAGGTATTCCAGGAAAGCCAATTAAACCGCGTCGTCCAGGTTTTCCTGGTATACCAGCCACTCCAGCTTCACCAGGCTCCCCTTGTTCACCCTGGGGTCCTATTGGTCCAGGATGTCGTTCGTCAAGATTGGGATCATAAGTTCCTGGTTCTCCTGCTTCACCTTGATGCCCCGGGGTACCATCATAACTGTTTATAGGTATTAATATGTTTTAAAATTTGCAATTATTCATATATTCTTAAAAAATACCCGTCTTCTCCTGTAAGTCCTGGTCTTCCATCAATCCCATCAGGACCAGAATAACCTGGAGCACCTTTAGCACCTTTAGGTCCACTTGGACCGGCTTCCCCAACTTTGCCGGGTTTCCCACGTTCTCCAGGCCAACCTTGTTCACCTGCTCCACCACGCATGCCAGGTAATCCTTGGGCACCAATTTCACCTGGAAAACCTCTATTTCCTCGCAAACCAGTTCTTCCGCTATCGCCCTTTTGACCTTTTGGAGCATCCCGCCCTTTCTCATAAGGAACATGTTCTTTATCGGCTGGATCTCCTTTTTGCCCCTTTTCTCCAGTTCCAATTAATGGATTATGAATTTCGGCGTCATCACCCCGCATACCACGATCACCCCTGGGTCCTTTCGCACCTGGAAATCCAGAAATACCAACAAAACCTTTTAATCCTCTGTAGCCCTTGTAACCGGGTGGTCCATCGGCTCCAGGATATCCTGAGTCACCTCTATTTCCTTTTACTCCTTTCGAATTAATTCCACCCTCTCCAGCATCTCCCGTAGGACCTTGTAGCCCTGGTTTACCCATTAAACCAGGAAGACCTGGAGACCCAGGGTAACCAGGATTTCCCATAACACCATCTTTTCCATCACAGCCATCAATACCTCGTGGACCTTGAGGTCCATCTTCTCCAGAACTGCCCTATATAACAGTTGAAAGTAATGCAAATGAATAAAATATCAAAAAAATTTATAGTAAAAATTAATACCCTTCTTCCAGGAATACCCGGACGTCCTGGTTCGCCACCATCGCCCTATAAAATATAATATTCATTAGAAAATTTATGTATATACATATATACATCAAAATTTTTGCGCAAATATCAAAATAGAAGAAGAAAATTTGATTATTATTTGAATACTTACTCTATGACCCTTTTCTCCGGTTTCACCATATTCACCAAAATCTCCAACTTCCCCAGTACGACCCAGAGGTCCTGGTGGACCAAAATCACCTGGGGAACCTTCAAGTCCTGGAAAACCAATTGGCCCATGTGCTCCTTTGTTTCCTTTAAGTCCTTTACAATCACATTGTGCAGGAGAACAATCCTATTAACAAAAAATTAACAAAATATGAAAATTTCATAAAAAATAAATTTTAACAAAGTTGTTTGACTTAAAATTACATGTGGTACATGTTTTAAAAAATTAAGTAGGTGCATTGGAAATTTAAAAGAATAAAAATGAATAGAATATAAATTTTCAGCATTAAAAAAACAAGTAAAATTAATACCTATTAACGATTATGGAACCATAAGAAATGAAATTGTTATTGTTTTATTTTGTCACCTTCAATTAGAATTTTAGTAATCTTACTCGTATATTAAAATTTATCAAATATAGAAAATTTTTTAACTAGTTTTGAGGAGCTTTGTTTTTTGTGCCAAATCCCGCACAACATGCCTATTAAAAGAAAATTTGGCTGTTGCAATGTATAATTTAGATTTAATTCAATTTTGATTTGGAATTTTTATGTAAAGAAATTTATATACATATTATATGAAGTGAGTATTAATAATTATAACGTATATGAAGATGTTTGGTTATATTTTTGCTGTATGCGAAAGCAATATGTGTATGTATTTACGGATATAAGAGCAGTGCAAAAAAAGTTTACGTTGAACAAATAAAATTTTATTTTTTTAATTCAATATTGTGTTCGTTCGTATATTATAGATATAGATATATAGAAGTGTATAGGGGTATTAAAAGTAAAAGGTGGACTCTATAACTATATAGCACGAACTCAGGTAAAAAACTGAGATAAATTTGATTGGAATGATTTAATATTAAAACTAAAAATGTTTCTAAGTTTTCTTTGTATTCTTATTTATATTTTTTTTATCTTAATGAATACAAACATTTTTTCTATATTTTGTCGTTAGGCTAAATCTTAAACTTTTTGTATTAAGCGAGAAATATATGTTGAAGAACAATTCAGTCAACAATGATCACACCATTGTCGTTTTCCAATTTGAAATCAGAGTCTGCTTTCCAAATAAAGCAGAATAAACGGAATTTTTAAATCTTATAAAACTAAATCCGCATTCTAGTTTTGAATTACATAATTTTATGTTGATTTAATGTATTTCTATAAGTATAATAATTGACTACATAAGGAATATTCATAATACTTGTGCTTATATAAATATGTAGGCATAGTCAATAACTGGATTTACTCAAAAACTCTATACTGTGTAGGCATGTATATTAGCACATATTAAAAATAAAACCTTTTATAACCTCTTTAATTTGAGCAATTTGTTTAATAGTGGAACACAGGAGCAGATGTATTTTATTAGCAACATGTCAATTTAATTTTTTTCCTGAAATATTCTTCTACTAATACTTTAATTTCATACAAATTTTGTTTGTTATTATTGATTGAAACGAACTAATACCACTAAATTATTTGTTATAATTCGTAATATTATTGATTTTAACACTACTTCTTTAGACGTTAAGTTCAATAAATTAAGAATAAAGACGTGGATGATATCATGCACCACGGCGACACATTTATAAATATATGTGCTATGAATTTTATCGACTAAAATTTATTATAATTTGTAAATTGAAAAGAGTTTAATAAAAATGGCTAATATTAGTTTGGCTAATATGAGTTTAATAAAAATGGCTACAATGAACACAAAATTAGTTGTGGTATATTCATCTTAAAATATCAGAATATATGAAATGTAATCTTGAAATGAACATATAGTTAAAGTTCGAAAAAAAATTTAGAAATATTTTAAAAATTAAAAAAACTAAATATTAAAAAAATTCATTATTGCAATTGTTATCAATATTCATTAGATTCAAAAGGTTTCTGAGGCGAACAATTCATTTAAAATTTTCTTTTCGTTAACGTTCGACAATATGGAACCTATTGCATATATACATATCTTTAATATAATAGCTATTTCATCAAATATCTTAAATATTCACAATAAAAATTCTATTATAAATGAATTCTTTTTCGGTTTCATTTTAAAAAAAAAATTGTAATTTGTCTTGTTTACAAGAAAAACGTCTATCTTTTAAAAAGTCACATATTTGCATTTTAATTGACCATGTAAACTTTTATAAGAATTCATTGTAGACGGTGCCAATATATGCATTTTTTTATATTTATTTATGTTTATTCTTAAATTGACGATATAATTTTAACACCCACGTAAAAGAGAGATAATCTTGAATACATATAAGTATGCTTAAAAGTAAAATCATATTAAAATTAAAAGTTTCATTAGTTTTATACACAAAAAGTACTAAAAAAAATAAGTTTTTAATAATGCAAATATGTCGGGTAATTATTATTTCTGCATTTCACTCTACATTTTAGAGTGACCGTAATTTAAACAGAAAAAACAGTTGACAAAAGAATAAAATGGGGGCAAAGTCAGTATTTATAAATCATACAATTCCTATTGGCTTGAGAAAGAAGCGAATCTAATATTATTACTAATTTTTGTTGAAATAATATAAAGAAATTATTAGGAATTTTTAATATTATTTCGTAATTCGTCCAGTAAAAGTATTCTCAATATAGTTTCCTTATAAAATTTTGTAAGTTGAGGGCAAAATAGAGAAAGCTTTAAATTTCAAGTATGTTCTGTTTTTTAAAATATATCTTTTTTGTAATTACAAACATAAAAAAATATAACTACAAAAAAAACTTATTTAAACGCGAAAAACAATGCAAATCGAAATCTGAAAAATTTATGAAAAAAGTGTCCCTTTTTATATATTTATGGAATAGTATGTACCTTTATTTTACATTTTTTTATTACACAGTGTAAGGAACATTACAAAAAATTAAAATATGAGATCAAATTAATATTGAGAACTTAAAAATGAGGACATATCGAAGAAAAACAGTATGGATGGTAACTCTAGCATATGTGTACAATGTTTCATTCCAAACATAAACATAAAGTGTGCCCAATAATCAACTGCAAGAATGCAAACACAATATGATTCTTGCCTTATAAGTATATAGTATAAGTTTTGTGATGATTACATTCTATATGCATGTTATGCATTAAATCCTAGCGAATAATATCAGATATATGAAATGAACTCAGTATTTAAATTTACAATTTTAAAAAATTGCAAAACAAAAATTATTATGGCCCGCTATGTAGGGTCAGAGGAAAAAAATTGTGGCAAAAACAAAAAACAAAAAATATCAAAATAAATTGTGATAATTTTTTTTTTTCTTTCGAGAATTTTTTTATAATATTTTTGGTACACAAAATATTTTTACATATACAGATATTTATCATTAAGCTTAAAATAAACATTTTAAATAGCCATTGTTTAAGCTTGCAATTAGAAAAAAAATTTAACACAAGTACGAGTATGTATGTGTATAATGTATATCAAATAAATCGGAAATGATGTCAAAAAATGTGTTCATATCAAAAGTACAAAATTAGATAAAAATGTATAAGTATTTTTTTTTTGCAATTCTTGCATTTTGATATTTACATTCTTATATCATTACATATGTACGGTCTGTAATTAATAAGTGCAGTATATAAGTACATAATTGTTAACAAATAAAGTATTTGTTAAAAATAATATCATGACATTATAAAGATTTCTAAGAACAACTAAGAATAACTTGGAAAAAAATATGTGTGTCAAATTATACAAAATATTTAAGAAGGACTGACTTTTCATATTATTAAAATAAATAAAATATTTGATTCGTAATTATGTAATAAACGAAATTCAAATGAGTAAACGATAGCAAAGAACAAAAAGGACAGGCACAGGACAGAGAAAATATACAACAAAAATAAATACATAACCATGTATATAAAAACCTGTTAACACATAAACAGATAATCTTATCTGTTTAACTGTTTCGAAAATAGCAAAACTCAAACAAAGGGCTCAAAATAAAAACCAATTGTTATGACAACTAGATTTCACAAAATAGATTTCGAATTCTTCCCCTGCAATATAATAGTCTTTTAAAATGGACAAACCATATATGAATGTATATAGACATTATATAAATATCACTATGTGGAATTCCCAATAGCTATTAATAATAAATTTGTTAAAATTAGCTTCATCGATTTTGCATTGATTTCCATAATTGAGGACAAATTGGCGAAACAATATCTTCTAACGTAACAACTGTATTAATTACCGTAAGCTTTTAAAATTAAAATTATGTACATATGTAGGGTATATAAAAAATTGAAATTATTTCAAAATATGGAAAAATGTATTGCTTTAATTTTTTACTTTTACAATTAAATTGGGTTTCCCGCTTCGTGCTTTTTGGTAATTTCTCACTAAATATTTATTATAAAGTCGGGTTACGATAACTAAAGATTCTCCTTATTCTCTTATTATATCGGAGCAAAACTTTATTCATCACTTCAATATATCATTTCTCTCAATATACTTTATAATGCAATTGCAAATTAAATATTATGTAGAAAATTATGTTCCTCTTCTAAAAAGAATATAAAAAGACACGTTTCATTCTGTTCCCCAACAATAAAATTATATGCTAGCTGTTAAAAAAACTTTCACAAGTTATTTATTTTGTGCCAAGGACCTTATCGTAATTGGACCAATTCATACAACGGGTACAGGTAGCTGCCATACAACTACAAATATTTGGAAAATTCATACAATTAAATATTTGGAAAAATAATACGGTCGAATAAATGAAAGTTGGCAGTCGTGTGTCAAATTATGCGTCAGACATATCCGTAAAGTTTCTATAGAATATGGTTTCAAGTGCAGATTATAATTCAATCGGTTTATACCGTCTGAAACGTTTCACTTGTTTTTTTTTTTAAATATTGGTTGGTATTTAATATTAGAATATCGGTTTTATGCTAGAAACGGAAGGTGCTATTTGTTTCGTTAATAGCCCTTCTGTCGATATTCCTTACTTCATGATAATATAAAAAATTTTGTTTTAAACAAATGAAAACAAAATTTTAGAAAATAAAAATTTTATTTTAGAAAAATGTCTGGAAAAAAATTTGGAAAATAGTGAAATTCTGCTTTTGTGG